GTCGCCCGCGTCGCCGACCGCGTGCGCCTGCAGGCCCCGCTGGGCCCGCGGGCCCTCGCCGCCGCACTCGACGAGGCCCCAGGTGTTCCGCGACAGGTCCAGCACCTCCAACGCGTCCGGCGGGCACAGCGCCCCGCCCGCCTCGTCGCCGCCGCCGAAGACGACGAGCTGCTCCTCGACGATCACCGCCGCGTGGCCGTCGCGGCCGGGCGGCTTCGGGTCGTCGATGTGTACGCGTTTCCAGGCGAGCGTCGCGGCCTCGTCCGGGTCCTCGGGCCGCGGGAACTGGAGCTTCCAGACGTCGTTCGCGAAGCCCGAGGCCGTCCGCCCGCCGAAGACGACGACGGCCTCGTCCTTGTAGACGGCCAGCGCCGGCGCCGCGCGCGCCGGCGGCGGCGCGCCGGCGATCTCGGGCTTGAACCACTCGCCCGACTCCAAATTCAGCAGGTACGCGGCCTCGTCGTAGTCCTCGACCTTCCGGTTCCCCTTGTACGTGCGCCGCGCCTCCGTCGCGCCGCCGTAGACGAGGACGACGGAGCCCAGGTAGAGCATGGCGTGGAAGGCCCGGGGCCCCGGCGCCTCCGGGCCGCCCTTGTTCTGCGACATGGCCACCCACGCGCCGTCCTCGCCGTCGTAGACGTGCTCGTCGTCGAGGAACCCGTCGCCGCCCAGCCCGCCGTAGAGGCACACGTCCCCCGACGCGTCGTTGAAGACCATGGACCCGCCGATGCGGCCCTGGGGGTTGTCCATGAGCATGCAGCTCACGATCGCGCGCGTCCGCGGGTCCGCGGCCTCCCGGTCGCCGCCGCCGCCGTCCTCCTCCTCCTCCTCCTTCGCCGCCGGCCAGGCGCTCTCGAGCTGCGCCTTCGCCGTCTCCGCGTAGGCCCGCTTCTTCCCGCGCGGGTCGAAGACGAAGAGGAGGTAGTAGCCCGTGGCGACGAAGGCCGCCGCGAAGACGAAGACCATGGGCAGCCCCCGGAACGACAGCGACACGTCGCCGTACTCCGCGGGGCCCACGCCGAGGTCCTCGAACTCCTCGTAGTGGCCGTAGTCCACGAAGTGCTGGCCGTGGCCGCCGTACCCGAGCCCCGGCATCGTCGAAGTTCGACCGCGGGTGGGCAGCACCAGCGCGGCGGGACGCGGGCAAAGTGGCAGCGCCTCGACGACTTCAACGAGCAGTCTCGCCGCGACGCACCAGCCGCAAGTGCGCAATGCGCACCGTCCTTTGGCTCGCTTTCATCGCGGCGCGCGGCCTCTCGTGGGCGCCGCGCCGCTCTTTGGCACGACCCCAGCTCCGGCGCCATGCCCAGGTCGTCCAGATCGACGCCGACGGCAAGTCCTTCCCCGTCGCCGGCGCCAACGGCAAGCCCTGGGCCGTCGGGACGACGGCCTACGAGACCATCAACACGGAGCAGTGGAGCACGTACCTCGCCGCGACCCGCGCGGGCACGCGCCTGAGCCGCGTCTTCCTGCCGGCGTCCGTCAACCCGGAGTACCTGAGCTACACGAAGTGGCGCGCGCTGCAGCGACTCCTGTCCGCGACGGTCAACGTCTTCGGCCTCCAGGCCATGATCATGGCCGTCGGCCTGCGGGATTCGCGGGCCGTCACGTCGGGCAAGGTCGTCGGCGCCGCCGCGGCCATCGACTGGGTCCTCAAGGACGCGCTCGGCAAGGTCACGCGGCTCTGCTGGGCGGGGAAGATGGGCCGCGAGTTCGACGGCGACGCGAAGCGCTGGCGTTTTAGGAGCTCCCTCCTCTACGCGACGGGCAACGGCCTGCAGATCGCGACCTTCGCCTTCCCCGGGGCCTTCCTCGCGCTCGCGACGTTCGCGAATTGTTTGAAGCAGATTTCGATGCTCACGTCGACCGCGACGCGGTCGGCCATCTACCGCTCCTTCGCGGCGACGGAGGCGACGAACAACCTCGGCGACATCACGGCCAAGGGCGAGGCGCAGATCGCGGTGGTGGACTTGGTGGGGCTGTCCGTGGGTCTGGGGATCTCGAAGGCCTTCGGCCTGGGCACGGCGCTCGCGAACCGGCGGCTGCTGCTGGGCATTTATGCTATACTCTCCCTGGCGGAGATCGCCGCCATGTACCGGGAGATTCGCTGCGTCGTCTTCCGCCAGCTGAACCTGGACCGGGCGCTCGCCGCGTGCGACGCGTTCGTGGCCGGGGAAAGAATTCTCTCGCCGGAAGAGTCCGCGCGGACGGAGCGCATCCTGCTGAGCGCGGCCGTGCGCCGGCGCGACGTCTTCCGCCCGGCCGCCGACGTGGCGTTGCACGTCGGGACGGAGGAGCTCAGGGACGCCGTCGAGGCGTCCGGCGGCGACGAGTTCCTCGTGCTCCGCGCGCCGTCGTCGCGCGGCGGCGGCGACACGCGCGTGGTGATCCTGGGCCGCGACGCCGACGACGACGCCGTCCTCGACGGCCTCCTCGCGCGGGCCCTGGCGCTCCGCGGCGAGGCCGCGGGCGACCGCACGCCCGCGAACCTGCGGGAGGCGCTCCGCGCCGCGGGCTGGTCGACGGGCAGCTTCATGCTCCCGGACCTGCCCGTGCGCGCGCACTGGAAGGACACGTAACGCTCGACTTAGGGCCCAAAGCTACTGCGTCGTCACGGTGGAGTTGTCGTCGTCGGAGACGCCGCCGAAGAGGCGGCCGCGCGCGCTCTGCTCGTGCTTCGTCGGGCCCGGGCGCAGGGGCTCCACGGGCGGCGGGAGCATCTCCTCGAGGAACGCCGACGCCGACGGCCCCGCCGGCTCCGGCGGGAAGTTCTCGTCCACGCGGCCGAGCGGCGCCTCGCGGCCCGAGGACGCGGGCGCGTCGCGCGGCGGCGCGGGCGCGGGGTCCGTCATCGACGCCTCCTTGGGCTTGCGCATGGCCTTGGGCATCAGTTCCTCCTGGAAGCCGCCGTCGATGGCCCGGTTCACGAACTCGGACACGCCGTTGAGCTCGGACTGGTCGTAGCCGTCGCCGTTTTTCACGCCGCGGAGCTTCGGGTCGTACTCCTCGGGCGCGAGGCCGTGCTTGTCCAGCAGGTCGCCATCGTCGTCGAACTGGCCGCAGAAGACGTCCGACGCGCACATGGCGACGAAGGACGTGTTCTTCTTGAGCTTGATGAGGCGGATGCGCTCGTTGAGGTGCTGGATCTCGTTCTCCAGCAGCTGCTTCTCTTCCGCGTGGCCCTTGGCGACGCGCTCGAGCTCGTCGATCTCGCGGCGCTGGGCCAGCAGCCGCGTCGCGTAGTTCTCGCGCTCGAGCGCCGCGCGCTCCTTGTTGAACTTGTCGTCCTGCGCCTCGACCCACTTCCGGCGGTAGTCCTCCGCCTTCTCGTTGGCCTCGACGATCTTCGCGTGCGCCTCGGCGGCGGTCCGCGCGGCGTCCTCGAGCTCCAAATTGAGGCGCGCGATCTCCTTGCGCAGGTCGTCGTTGACGCGCGCGAGCTCGGCCTTTTGGACGTCGAAGCGCGCCCTCAGGTCGAGGCAGAACATGTCGTGCTCGGCCCGCTGGGCGTTGAGCCGCTCGCGGCAGGCCGCCTCGGCCCGGTCGCCCTCGACGTTCATGACCATCTGGAGCAGCTCGCCGCACTTGAGCACGCAGTGCTCCGTGTCCAAATCCTCGAGCTCCGTGCCGACGACGGACACGAAGTGCTGCCGCGGCACCTGGGCGCCCCCGCGCTGGGGCAGCTTCGCCATGAGGGACCCGTGGCCCACGTCGGGCACGTGGGCCTCGAGCTCGCCGCGCTCGAGCATGTGGGCGCTGTTGCTCACGCGGATGAGGGCGCTGTCGAGGGCGACCATGAACTGCTGGACCAGGTAGGGGTCCACGCGCGGCGTGCAGCGCACGGCGAAGACCATCGGGCAGCCGCTTTCGCGAACAAGGCTGCGCGCTGGAACCGGGTGCGGCGCGGCGGGCCCACGGGGATGTTCCACCACTCGAGCAAAATTGGGAGACGGTGGTTACAGCACGGAGCAGATATCGAAAGCCGCGTCATGGGATACGGGCCGCCGTCGAGAAAGATACGGAAAGCCCGGGGCGACGTTTCCCACGACTGTAAATGACGTGAAGTCTGCAGCGTTCCGAACGTGCAATTGCTGGAAAAGGGTTGCCGGAAGCCTAGGAGCAGCCCAAACTCGGCCGAACCGTTCTCTCGCGCCGTCGCCCAGCGCCGCGTCGTCGCACGCGCGGCACCGAGCACCGACCGCCATGCAGCCCATGCCGCCGCCCATGGGGCCCAACGGCATGCAGCAGCCCATGATGCCCATGGCGCCGCGGGGCATGCCCGGCGGCATGCCCGGCATGCCGCCCATGGGCATGCCCATGCCCGGCACGCCCGAGGCCGCGTTCCTCGCGGCCCAGTGCGGCGGCGCGACCATGATGGGCCAGATGGCCGGCGGCCCCATGCCGCCGGGCATGAGCCCGGGCATGCAGATGATGAAGCCCGGCGACAGCGAGCGCGGCATGAAGGACGCGGCGGAGATGCTCCACAACGCGGCCATGGTCATGAAGCGCCGGCGCTGCATCGTCGCCGTCGACGAGGTGCCCGGCTTCGTGCGCACGGTCTACACGCTCCTGCGCGTCTGCGACCCGGAGATCATCGCGTGGTCCGAGGACGGCACGCAGATCGTCATCAAGGAGGCGGAGCGCTTCGCGTCGGAGATCTGCCCCAAGTTCTTCCGCCACCGCAACTTCAACTCCTTCACGCGCCTCCTCAACATGTACCAGTTCCACAAGGTGCCCTCGGTGCAGCGCGACTCGAAGGACGTCTGCTTCGAGCACCCGCACTTCCAGCGCGGCCGCGACGACCTGCTGCCCCTCGTCCAGCGCAAGGGCGCCCAGACCATGCGCGAGGAGCTGATGGCCCGCGAGATGTGGGAGCGGTCCGCGCTCGGCGGCATGGCCGGCGGGCCGCTCGACGCCGCGCTCAACCCGATCCACCCGATGATGCAGCAGCAGCAGATGATGCAGCAGCAGGCCGCGTCCATGGGCCAGCCCGGCGACGCGTCGAACCCGGGCTCCTGGATGCGCCGCATGTCCGAGCTCGAGGCGGAGGTCCGGACGCTCAAGGCGGAGAACGACCGGCTCCGGAAGATCGAGGAGGAGACGAAGCTCCTCAAGGAGCAGATCAAGGCCAACGACGATCTAATCGCGTCCCTCCGCGCCAGCGCGCCGGCCCAGCCGTCCCTCGCGGACCTCTTCCCGGGCACGGCCGACGACGCCGCGGCCGCGGGCCTCCCGCCGCCGCCCGAGGGCCTCGAGGAGGCCATGTCGACCATGGGCGGGCCCATGATGATGATGATGTCCATGATGACCAACGCCATGCAGCAGACGCTCCAGAACCAGACCGACGTCCAGTTCCCCAACGGCGCGCCGACGCTCGACGCGGCCGCGTTCGCGGCGCCCGCGGGCGCCGCGGCGGCCGAGGCGCCGGCGCCGGCCGAGGCGCCGGCCGAGGACGCGCCGCCGGCGAAGAAGACGCGGACCCACTGATCCCCGTCGCCCCGCGCGGCGGCGCGCCCGCCTTCCGCCCCGCCCCGCTCGCCCGCGACCCGAGGCTGTCTGTGTTACCCGAGGCTTTGTCGTTTTCTTTCCTTTCCCGGCGGGAGGCCGTTTGCGCACGCGTGTGTCGGCGCCTCGCGAGGCGCGCGCAGCGCCGCGTACGGCGAGCCGCGCGTCGCCGCAGCTCGACTCAGTTCTGCGGCAGCATGATCATGCGCGCAGCGCTGCTGCTCGCGCCGGCGGTCGCGTTCCTGCGCGCGCCCGCGCGCCAGCCCACGCTCCCGCGCTCGTCGACGACGAGCGAGCCCACGACTTCCGAGCTCGCGGACGCGACGGCGCTCTCCGACAGCTTCGACGGCGCGGTGCAGGACGCGAGCCAGGGCCTGCTCAAGTCCATCGGCGACGGCAACCGCATGCTGCGCCTCGACTTCGACACGTCCATGGGCGACGCGACGTACACGCAGCTGAAGCTGAGCCTCGACTTCGCGCGCGACGTCGCCATCGAGTGGGCGCTGGAGCTCGAGGAGGACGAGACGCTGTGCCTCTTCTTCCCCGACGCGGGCGCGGCGGCGCTGGCGAAGAAGGACTGGAAGCTCGACGATTTGGACGAGGCGCTCGTGCCGCCGAACGTGCGGCTCGCCGGGTTTCCCCGCGACAAGCTCGAGAAGGGCGACGCCGCGGTCTTCGTGCTCTGCCCGCGCGCGCCGGAGCGCGACGCGTGCGAGGCGCTCGTGCTCGACTGCGGCGAGAAGAATTTGCCGATCGCCTTGTTGAATCCGGAGCTCGTGGACATGGGCACGACGGGCTACGGCATGGCCGGCCGCATGTTCAAGGAGCGGCTCTTGGACAAGCTCGCGCCGTGCTACTACCTGCGGACGCTGGACTGGGGCGCGCTGGCGCGGACGTACCCGCAGCGGTACACGGTCTGGCAGGAGGACTCGAGCGTGCCCGACGGCTACCGCTTCCTGCGCAACTTCGACCGCCAGCCCAACTCGGAGGAGCTCGAGGACCTCTACTTCGAGTGCAACCCCGTCGAGGGCGAGGGCGACCCCGTCGCGGGCCTCTTCGACGGCCTCGGCAAGTTCATCGACGCGTTCGGGAAGATGTAATTCTCACCCGTAAAGGCGGGCCAGGTGGTCCGTGGACGTCGCGCGGCCTTTGAGCGAGAGCGCGGACCGCTCGTTGAGGTGCTTGAGCTCGTCGTAGGACTGGTCGTCGTCGCCGCTGCCCCAGGCGTTGATGGCGCTGGCCTCCTCCTCCTGGCGCCGCGCCTCCGCCGCGGCGGCCTCCTCGGCCTCGGCCGCGCGCCGCGCCTCGTCGGCGATCTTCTGCTTCTCGTCGCGGATGCGGTTCACCTTCTGGAAGAGGCGCGCCTGCATGCGCGCGCCCATGGACTTCTCGAAGAGCATGGAGTCGAGGTGGCTGAGCCGGGCGCCCTTCGGCTTGGGCTGCTTCTTCAAAGGCACGGAAGATCGCAGCCCGAACTCCGGCGCGCCCGACGCCCCGTTGAACAAGAAATCCGCCGTCAGGAAGGGCCGCCGGCCCGTGAGCTTCTCCCGCTCGAGGCGCGCCGCCGACGCCTTGTCGTCGCCCGCCTCCAGTAGCCCGTGGAACGCGTCGAGCGTCGACGTGTCGCCCGACCGGAGCTGGCGCGAGATCGAGCCCATGACCGCGACCTTGTCGGCGACTGGCGTCGGCGGGAACGTGCGCTCCATGTAGGGGTGCCAGACGCAGGGCACGCCTCTGGTCGGGTGGCCCCGCTTGCACCGCGCGTACTTGTCGTAGGGGAGGACGATGAAGTCCCGGTGCGCGCGGATCGTGTCCGCGTCGTAGACGTCGTTGATGGCCTTCTGGTCGTCGGACACGATGGTCTCCGGGCCGAGCTTGTCGCGCCACTCGCGGAGGAGGTCCACGCCCTTGTCCGTGCGCCAAATACAATAGAATCCGGGGCAGAGGCCGAACGACTTGGCGCCCTGGAACCACGCGCCGAAGTCGCGGGAGAAGGCCGCGACGGGCCGCTCCGTCGCGAGCTGGACGCCGGCCTTGAGCTTGCGCTTCCGCCGGCGCTGGAGGTCGGGGATGGGGTCCGAAATCCAGAACGCGTCGACGTCGCTGTGGATGACCGGAGCGCCCACGGGCGCCGCGAGCGCCTGTGTGGAAACCAACCACTGGTTTGGGTGGTCCCGACCAAACTTGAGAATTCTCTAGCTCGGTCAAATCGAAGTCGATTCGGCTGATTTTTGGACGGATCGATCGCTCTCGTCGAGTTCTCGAAGCACGGCCGAAGAGCTTGTGTCAAAACATTCGAATATGCTCACATTGAAGTCGGGTTGAAGATTTGGTTTCGGCACAGGCGAGCGCGACGGCCGTCACGAAGTCGAGGCGCGCGCGCCAGATGTGGGCGAGCCGGCGCATCTGCCTGCCGATGGCCTGCTCGTTGAGCAACGCGTCGTTCGGGAGGTCCGCGCGGTACGCGCCGACGCGCAGCCGCGAAAAGCGGAGCCGGATGCCCCGGAGCGCGTCCTCCGCGGCCTCGTCGAGGCACAGCACGTGGAGCATCGTCGCCGGCCGCGCGAGGGCGATGGGCTCAAAGTGCTCCAGCCACAGCTCCAGCAGCGGCGCGTAGGCGCCGTCGAAGGCGACGCAGACCTGCACGTCGTCCTCGTGCTCGATCTCCTCGTTGACGCCGACGCAGCGGCGGCTCACCCAGCCGCACACGGGCTTCACGATGCGCGCCCGCTGCTTCGACCCGAGGTAGCGCTCCTCGGCGACGACGACGACGTCGCCCCGCGGCAGCGTGACCAGGACCTCGCTGTCGAGCTCCACGCCCGCGCGGACGACGGCGCCCTTGCCGACGACGCAGAGCTCGGGCTGGCGCTTCAGGAGCAGCCGCTCCTGGGCCAATTCGAGGCGCCGCGACGGCGTGATCATGCCGCTCGCGGCTCGGCCATTGGGGCCGCCCGACCAGGGGTGCATGAGTAAGCACTCGCGCGCTACGGAGTTCCCATGCTTCCCATGCTGCCCCAACGGCAAGGTCGACCACGAGCTGGCTCCGATCCGCCGAGCGCTCGTCGATAATCGACGCGGCGCCACGGTGGTAGAAAAACGCTGGGCAGCTTTTCAGTGGCGCGCACGAATCCGCACAGCCCCGAGCCGACCCCGTGCGCAGTCGCAGGCATGTGCCTGCCCCCGGACCCCAAGTCGGCCGTCGTGGCCGATGACGACTCCGACGGCGCCCCGGAGACGCAGGCCGCGGCGCCGGCGGCGAAGCGGGGCCGCTGGGACCTGCCCATGCCGCGCTTCAACGCCGCCCACAAGCCCTACCCCCTGGACAAGCGCCTGAACCTCCTCTTCGAGGACCTGCCGGGCGTCCAGCTGAGCCCGCTCTACCTGCTGGAGCTGCCCATCTTCGCGTACCTCGCCTACGCGTACCGCGCCGAGTTCCGGACGTGGATGCTCAAGCCCATGTTCGCGCTCTACCTCTTCCGCGAGTGCTTCGGCATGTCTTTGAGCCTGCACCGCTACTTCTCCCACAAGGGCTTCCAGTGCGGCCGGGCCGCGCAGTTCGTGCTCTGGTGGCTGGGCTGCATGGCTTCCCAGGGCCCGCCGCTCTGGTGGGCGTCGAAGCACCGGCGGCACCACGCCAAGTGCGACACGGAGGAGGACCCCCACACGCCCGTCTGCTTCAACCCGCTCTACGCCTGGGTCGGCTGGACTTATTTACCGGGCGCGGAGGGCCCCTTCGGCCGCGGCATCGACGAGGAGTACGTCGGGGACCACATGAAGTTCCCGGAACTGGTCTACGGCGAGACCTTCCACATGGTGCCCGTCTTCGTGACGCACGCGATCTGCTACAAGCTCGGCGGCGCGCCCTACGCGATCTACATCTCCATGCTCAGCGGCATGGTCTGCCAGCTCGCGACGATGTACTTCAACGTCGCCTTCCACACGCCCGAGGACGGCGGCGCCCACGAGGCCAACGGCGAGTGCCACGCCCGCGACATCCCCCTGGACCCCCTGTCGAACGTCTTCGGCGAGGCCTACCACGCGTGGCACCACATCCACCCGCGCGCGCACTGGCGCCCGGGCATCGACCTGCCCTACTTTTTGGGCATCTGGCCCATGCTCAAGCTCGGCGTCTTCCGGGGGCCCAACATCATGCACAAGGCCAAGCTCGCCGTCTACGGCTTCGACCCCAAGACCGGCGAGAAAATCGACCCGAAGAAGACGTACTGATCGACCCGCGCCGCGCTCGCCCCGTTCGCTCCGACGCTTCACCCTGGCGCCGGTCCCCGCCGCCGCTTCGAGCGGCCGCGGCAAGAAGACCACCCCGCCTCTCTCGTTTTAAGAGCACCATACTGTGTATATAAAAGCCGAGCCGCACCTAGACCCGCTTGCGGAAGCGGACCTTGATGCCCTTGGGGTTCTCGACGGTGAGCGAGACGCCGGCCTTGATCGTCGGCGCGAAGCCGGGGACGTCCTCGAGGACGTAGCGGTCCAGGAGCCGGCCGAAGAAGACGCGCATCTCGAGGAGCGCGAGCGCGTAGCCGATGCACGTGCGGCCTGGGCAGCAAAAGGGTGATTCAACGTCGCTTCAACGTGAGTGTTCCGCGCGCGCGCGTTCTGGAAAAAGCATCCACGCTTCGAGACCGTTCCGAGAGATGATCGCTCGTCCAAAAATCAGCCGAAACGAGTGGAAAACGGCCGAGATCGGAGCCTTTGAAGGTGGGAATTTCGCTCTCTTTTGCTGCCCTGCGTGCGGCCGCCGTAGCCGAACGGCAAAAAACCCTGGCTCGCGAGCATGACGCCGTCGGAGCGGTGCGCCCGCTGGTGGGGCAGCCAGCGGTCCGGGTCGAAGGCCGCGGCGTCGTCGCCCCAGAGCCGCGGGAGCCGGTTCATCAAAAAGAAGGGCACGAGCACGCGCGACCCCTGGGGCACGCGCTTCTTCGCGCCGTGGTCGTCGACCAGGTCCGTCGCCTTCGCGCACTGGCGCGTGACCATGGGGATCACGGGGTACAACCGGAGCACCTCCATGACGACGCGTTTCAGGAGAGAGTCCGACCAGTCGCTCTTTCCCTCCGAGAGCTCCGCGCGGAGCCGCGCCTGCACGTCCGGGTGCTTCGCGAGCATCAACGCGCCGTAGCAGCAAAAGTAGGCCGACGTGTCGTGGCCCGCGCCGACCAGGGTGACCAACTGATCTAGCAAATCGTCGTCCGAGAACGCCTCGTCGCCGTCGCTCGCGACGAGCGCCGTGAGGCAGTCGTCGGGCGCCGCGCCCGCCCGCACCATGGCCCGCCGCCGCTCGATCAAGGGCATGAAGACCTGGCGCCGCACGGCCGCGCACGACGCCGCGAGGCGCCGCACGCGCGGGAACGCCCGCGACATCGGGATGTTGTAGAGCATGTGCTCGCCCACGACGTTGGACCCGAAGCTCACCTCCGTGGCCACGTACTTGGCCACGGCGCCCCGCGCCTCGTAGCCCTCGAGCTTCCAGGTCAAAATGTCCTCGCCGATCATCGCAGAACAGAACGCGCGCAGCGTCGCGATGTGGAAGAACTCCTGCACGTCGATGTCGCAGGGCCCGTCGGCGAGGCGCGCGTCCCAGAGCTCGTCGGCCGTCGAGTCGAAGATGGCGGCGATGGACGGCGCGTGGGCCTCCAAGCGCGGCTTCGCGAAGTACTTTCCCAAAACGCGGCGCGCGCGCGCGTGCTTCTCGCCCATGCTCGTCACGAGGCCGTCGCCGAACACCAACCCGAACTTGTCGCGGTAGTCCTCGCCCTTGGGGAAGGCCCGCGACGACCCGAGCACGGCCTTGGCCGCCGCGGGAGTCGCGACGACGCACATGGGCCGCACGCCGCCCGGCCAGAAGAGGAACAGGCCGTCGCGCTTCTTCGCCTCCCGCAACAGAAACCGCATGAAGGCCGGCGCGGCGACGACGGCGTTGCCGAGCAGCGGCAACGTCGTCGGGAACGGCGCGCTCGGCCACGCGCCGTAGACGCGGAACCGCAAAAAGTACTGGTACGCGACCGCCGCGGCGACCGCGGGCGGCGCCATCGCCGCGGCCCACGTCGCGCAGGCGCCGACGTCGTGCGTGGCGGCGATCGCGGCGACGACGGCGGCGACGGCGACCGCTTCGCCCCCGCGCCGCGCCGCCGCGCGCCGCAGGGAGCCGCAGAGGCTCTTCGTGGTCGTCTGCAGGGACGGCGGCGCGGGGTTTTGCTTGCCGCGGCCCATGATTTCGAGCTCATCGAGCTTCGACGCGGAGAGGATGGGTGGCAGCATCGTGGCTCGGGCACCGCGCGCCTGCTCCCGCGGCTGTGTCCTTCGGGATGACCAGCGTCGACGTCTGTGATTTGCTGGCCAATCAGCTGTGTGTGCAACGGCACTGCTCGATAGGGTCAACAATCCGTCTGAGCCTCCAGTTGAGCCTCCGGGCGGGATCCTCGGGTGTGCACCCCCTTCAATAACTTGGTCAACAATCGCGTTGCAGCTCCAGAATATCGAAGCGATGATGCTCATCAGCCTCTTCCTGGGCGCGTCCGCGCTCGTCGCGCCTGCACGCCGGCTGCCCGCCGGCCCGCGGAGAAGCGCGAAGCACGCGACTGTCATGAACGGCGGCGCGGCGGCGCTCCTGGGCACGGTAGCCCCAACTCTTGGCATCTTCCAGCGTCCCGTGGCCGATTTCCGAGAGGTTTTTGACCGGGAAAACGATGAAAAATCGTTATCGACGCACCTGGTAGGCATCTTCACGAGCACGGCTTTGTACGCCGCCTCGCTGCCCGCCGTGATCAAGCGAACGAAACAGGGCAGCCTCGGCGAGCTCAACCCGCTGCCCACGGCCTTCGTCGTGCTGAGCACCATGGCCTGGGTGCAATACAGCCTCAGCGTCAAGAACCCCTTCGTGCTCATCTCGAATCTGCCGGGGAACGTCGCCGCGATGCTCAGCACGGTCCTGATGCTGCCCCTCATGAAGGGCAACGCCCAGCTCGGGCAAGTCCAATGGACGCTCGTCGCGGGCACGGTCGCGAACCTGCTCATGTGGTCCTACATGATCTTCGCGGGACTGAGTCCCGTCGCGCGGTCGCAGATCCTCGGGCTCTACGCGTCGGCGTTCTGCGTGATTCTGTTCGGGTCGCCGCTGTCGACGATCGCCAAGGTTATCCGGCAGCGCAATTCGGCGTCGATCCTCGCCGCATTCACCTTCGCACAAGTCGCGAACTGCAGCCTGTGGGCCGCCTACGGCCTCTGGGCGGCGAAGGACGTCTACGTCTACGGCCCGAACATCGCGGGCCTCGCCCTCGGCCTCGCCCAGCTCGCCCTGCGGATCATCTTCCCCGCGTCGGAGGACTGAGGGTAATCCGCGGAGACGTTCCTACGCTTCGGACGCCGCGCGCTCGGTGGCGCGCCGGGCCTTTTGCGCGGCGTCGTTGGCGGCCGCGAGGGCCGTGTTCTCGAGGACGTCCCAGTGCGTCGCGTGCCAGAGGTTGGCGACGACGAGGAGGACGTCCTCGGTGAGGATGAGCTCCGCGACCTTGAGGTCGCCGTCGAGGGCGCCGTCGGAGGGCGCGTTCGCCGCGGCGAGGACCGCGGCGACGGGGATCGCGAGCTTGGCGAGGATCTGCTCCGCGGCGCTCCGGAGCGCGGGGCTCTTCGCGGCCGCGGCCTTATAGACGGCCTTCCGGAGCCACGTGGTGCAGGGCGAGAGGCCGACGTAGCCGACGAGCCCGCTCAAGGATCCGGACGCGACGCGCTTTTGCGTGGGCGCCTTGACGCGCGAGGGGAGCGTCGCGGACGTCTCCGCGTTGAGGGGCTGGAGGCCCTCGGCGAGGGCCTTGGCGACGAAGCGCGCGCCCTCCGGCGGGAAGGCCTTCACTCGGCCGCTTCGAGTATAACAGCCCGCGAGGCGCGCGAAGAGGAGCAGCAGGTCGTCGCGCGTCGCGTCGTCGACGGCCGCGGCGGCGCCGAGGGCCTTGGCGAACGCCGTCACGGCCTTGCGGTGGAGCTTGTCCTTCTTCTTCTCGGGGCCCCGGACCCGCGCCCGCAGCTCCTTGGCGGCGAGGGCCGCGAGGGACTCGTCGGCGCCCGTTTTGGCGTGGAGCGCGAGGCAGTGGACGCACAGCTCCGTCGCCGCGTTTTTCGGCATGGGCGTGAGCTGCGTCGCCGACCCGAGAAGATGCGCCCACTCGTCCGGGAAGCGCAGCGCGTCGGCGTCGTCGAGGGCCTGGTAACGAGTTTTCGTGGTTTTCGCGGTCAGAATCTCTCGAAAGTCGTCGCGGCCGCCGGACGCCGATTCGCACCTGGAAGACCTGGCGGTAGCCGACGTCGAGGAAGCTCAGGTACTCCTCCGCGTCCGTGGTCGACGTCCACTGGTCCGCGAGCTCGAAGACGCTGTTGCAGAACTCGTCGCGCGTCACCTTGCCGTCGTCGCCCGCGTCGGCCTTGAAGTCGGCCTCCAGCGCCGCCGCGATCTCGCCGGCCTCGAGCTCGTCGCCCGGGTCCGCGAGCTTGAGGAGCCGCGCGTAAAAGGCCCCGTACTCGCGCCGGTCGAGGCTCGCGTTCTTGTCGCGGTCGTCGTGCGCGACGGCGCCGCGCCACCAGCGGTCCAGGGCCCGGCAGACGCCCGCGTCGTCGCGGAGCGCCTCGCGGAGCGCCATGTTCTCGTCGCTGTACAGCTCGAGGTCGCCCTGGTTCTGCGGCTCCGACTTCTCCGCGTCGCTCAGGGACGCGAAGCGCGCCATGGCCGCCTCCGCCTTGGCCGTGATCTTCTTCCGCCGCTCGCCGCGCCGCCGCACTATCTCCTCGGCGCTCAGCGCCTCCTCCTCGACGGCCTCGGCGGCGCCCACGAGCGCCTTCTGCGTCGCGCACATCTGGAAGAAGAAGCTCTCCATCGTCCCCTCCGCGCCGCTCGCCGCCGACTCGCCGCCGCCGGCCGCCACGCCGCTCGCCGCCGGCTCGCCGCCGCCGACCGCCACCACGCCGCTCGGCTCCGACATGCTCTTCGCGAGCTCGACGCCCGCTTTGCCGCTCATCGCGTTGCAGGCACGCTTCGGGCAGCCCTAAGTATGCCCTATGTTCACACGATGAGGCCGACGCGCATCGCGTTGCGGCACGCTCGGGCAGCTCGAGGTAGATGCCCGATGTTTCAGTCGACGAGGTCGACGCTGCAGTTAAACATCTTCGTCCGCAGAGAACGATGGTCCAACACTGAGACGGGGCAGCCCGCTCTCTCAACCAACCATGGGCGACTGGATCGAGGCCGTCGATCCGACGCACCAGCAGCCCTACTGGTACAGCCCGAGCCTCAACGAGTCGACCTGGGAGCGGCCGGCGCTGGCGCTGCACTGGACGGCGCAGATCGACGACGCGGGCCATACGTATTATTACCACGTCGAGACGGGCGAGTCGCGCTGGGAGCCGCCCTACGCCCTCACGGTGCCCGCGCCCGAGCCGGACCCGGAGCAGGAGGTGCCCGCGCCCGAGGTGTTCTCGGAGCCCGAGGCGCCGCCGGCCGCGCCGCCCGCCGAGGAGGACTTCGGGCGCGGCGCGCCGCCGCCCGCGCCGGTCGGAGGCGAGTTCTTGGTCAACGAGGAAGACATCGCCGTCGACATCACGCAGCGGAGCGGCGCCTTCGGCGGCCGCGTCGCCGAGGGCCGCTCGGTCTTGGTCGACGAGGAAGACGTCGCCGTCGACGTCACGCAGCGGAGCGGCGCCTTCGGCGGCCGCGTCGCCGAGGACCACTCCGCGTTCCGCGGCTACCGCGCGGAGCCGCGGCCCGACCCGGAGCCCGAGCCCGAGCCCGCGCCCGCGACGATCGAGCGCGCGGCCCGCGGCGGCGTCGAGCTCGGCGACGTCGCGCCGGCGCCGCCCGAGCGCCGCCGGTCGCTCGTCGACGCCGCGCACCCGCACCTGAACCCGACGCAGCTCGACCACCTCGACCTCGACCCGTCGATCCGTCGGACGACAAAGGGCAAGGCCTTCACGAAGCCGAAGCAGGTCTACTGCCACCTCTGCGGCCGCGAGTTCGGCACGGCGTCGCTCAGGATCCACGCCAAGGCGTGCCTGCGCAAGCTCGAGGCGACGCAACGCGACCTTCCAAAAGCTCGGCGGACGCGGCCGCCGCGGCCGCCCGACGAGGACCTCTTCCCGCTGCCTACAAGCAGCGACGGCGAGGTCGAGTTCTTCGCCTACAACGTCGAGGCGCTGCGCATCTTCGGCGAGATCTCCGGCGACGCGAGCCGCCTGCGGGCGCTGCTCGCCGAGTCCGAGGGGCGGAAACGGGACGAGGACGCCGAGGAGCGCGCGCGGGAGGACGCCGAGGCCGAGCGGCGGCGCGGCGAAGCTCTGGAGGCCGAGGCCCGGCGCCGGGCCGCGTTGGACGCCGAGGCCGAGGCCGAGGCCGAGGCCGCGCGCCTCGACGACCTCGCGCTCGAACGGGCCCGCCGGGAGCGCGCGTTCCTCGACGCGGAGCGCGAGCGCTTGGAGGAGGAGGCCGCGCGGCGCGCGGCCGCCGAGGCCGCGGCCGTCGCCGCCGCCGCGCGCGACCTCCAGCGCGACATGGCCGCGGCCGCGCAGCGGCGCGAGGCCGACCGCGACCGCGCGGAGGCCGAGAAACTCCTCGAGGAGGCCGCCGCGCTGCGCCGCGACAACGAGGCCGAGGCCGCGCGGCTCAAGGCCGAGGACGACCGACAGAAACGAGCGGCGGCGGCGCGGCGCGCGGCGGACGCGCGGCTCCGCGAGGAGGGCCGGCGCGAGGCGGACCGGCTCGAGGCCGAGCGCTTGCTCCTCGAGGAGGAGCGGGACCGCGCGGCCGTCGCCGCGCGAACGCGCGAGGCCAAGGCCGCGGCGGACGAGGACCGCGCGGCGGCGGCGACGGCGGCGGCCGCCGCGATCCGGGACGCGGCGGACCGCGAGCGCCTGCGCCTCGAGGGCGAGCGCGAGGCCGAGCGCCTGCGGCTCGCGTCGCTGCGCGTCGCCACGGACGAGGAGGCGCGCCTGGGCGGCTGCGCGTCGCCGGAGTCCCGCGCGGCGGAGGCCGCGCGCCGCGCGCGCGTGGAGCGCATGCGCGACCGGGGCTACCGCCCGCTCCGCAAGGGCGACGGCCGCCGCGCGGCCGAGAACGGGAAGCTCGCGGAGGAGCTCCGCCACGAGGCCGAGGCGAACAAGACGACGCGCCGCGCGCGCGAGTCGATCCTGCGCCACAAGGAGATCATCGCGGGCCTCGACGCCGAGGCGCGCGACCTGCACTACCGCGAGTGGGACCCGCAGTCCCACGTCGACACGACGTGGGCCAAGTCCTACGCGCGCTAACGAGATCTAGGGCCGCGCGCGGTGCTTGGGGAAGATGGACATGAAGACGTAGGTCGCGACGAAAGACACGGCGACGGCGGCGAGCGCGCCGATGGCCTGGAACGTCTGCCAGCTCTGCTGCTTGCTCCGCTCGTCGAGCGCCGCGCGCGACGCCTTCACGGCCTCCTCGTTGGCCGCCGTCGCGTCGTCGAGCTTGCCCATGGCCGCGTTCTGCTGCTTGAGCTTGTCGTTGACCGCGAGGGAGCTCGCCTTCATCTGCGTCGTCATCAATTCCAGCTCCCGCTGCAGCCGCGTCGCCTCGTCCGCGTCGACCTTGGCGGTGTCCGCCGGTTTCGGCGCCGCGGCGGGCGCGGGCGCGCCGTCGTCCGAGAGGTCGTCCGACGGGAGGCTGTAGTCGTCGTCGCCGTCCTCCGGCGCGTCCGCGGGCGCGGCGGCGGCGGCGGCCGGCGCGTCCCCGGGCGCGTCGTCCGCTGGCCGCAGCGCCGCGATGATGCGCAGCATGGCCTCCTCGTAGGTCGCGACCTTGGCCATGAGCTGGGCGTCGTCGCCCGCGGCGGACTCGAAGGCCTCGATCTTTTCGAGGGCGGCCTGCGCGAAGGCCACGCGGCGGTGCTCGTCCTTGGCCTCGAGCACCTTCGGCAGCAGGCGCTCGAGGTCCACGCTCAGGCGCCGCGCCGTGATCGGGTCGGCCATGGCGGTGTGTTCGCGGTTCAAAGCGCTTAAAACGCCGCGGTCGTGTCGCGCCGGTTTAAACGCCTCAAATTGCCTCTAGCGCACAAACCATGCGCGCCGCGCAAAAAGCGCCGCGGCATGCGCAATTTCAGCGAATTGAATTCAAGGAGCTGTGCTAAGAGGTCCTAGATCTCCTTCTCTCGGGGCCTCGGCTTGTGCTTCGCGCAGAACCAGTCGCCGTCGGGGACGTCGGCGACGCCGGCGCAGGCCAGGCACCACTCCTGGGCGCAGGGCTCGCCGTCGCCCGCGCCGTCGCAGAGCAGGAGCTGCCCGCCGTCGGGCACGGTGCCGCAGAGCGTGCAGGCCATCGGGTCCGCACACATGGCCCCGCGCAGCTTGCCCTCGACGCGGCCGAGGACGCGCTTCAGCGCGCCGTCGCCGAGGGACGCGAGGAGCGCGTCGAGGTCCGCCGGCGCGGCGACCTCGCGCCACGGGTCGCCGGACCGCCGCTCGGGCTCGACGAAGACGCGGTCCCAGCGCTCGCCGAGGACCCAGTAGGTGCGGCCCGCGCCGTCGCCGCCCAGGGGCGACCGGCGGAAGCTGCCGACGGCGCACCGGAGCGCCGCGTACTTGCCGTTCAACGCGTCGTCCGCTTCGTCGTCCGAGTCGTCGTCGACAACGTGCCGCGCGACGCGGGACCCGCCGAGCGCCAGCGCCACGCGCTTCGTCGCGCGGGGCTCGCCGCCGAAGACGGCCAGCAGCGCGCCCGGCGGCCGCCGCGGCTCCCGGGGCGTTTCCGCCTCCGCGCGCCGCGCGCCGCCGAGGCGCCGCAGCGCGTCGACGGCGCGTGAACCGTCGGTCCGCGCGGCCGCCGTGAGCAGCGCCACGTCGCGGAGCGCGGCGCCGACGCCGACGCGGTCCGCGACGCCGAGCGCCTCGTAGGGCGCGCCGCCGCCGCCGCCCGTGTCGACCCCGGCGCACGCCAGCGCCGCCTCGCACGCCGCGCACGCCGCCTCGTCGGCCGCCGCTTCCCCGATCTCGTGGCGCGACGGGTCCTTGTGGTCGTGCTCCCGGCGCCGCTTCCAGAGCGCCGCGTAGGCCGCGGCGTCCCGCGCCGCGGCGCCGTCCAGGGGCCAGAGGTCGTCGCTTAATTCCGCGCTCTCGTCGACGCCGCGCTCGAGGCGCATGGAAGCCGCGTCGTGGAGCCGCCGCGCGAGCACGCAGCGCGCGAAGGCGACGAAGATTGCGTACCAGCCCGAGCCCTGGGCCTCCCGGAGCAGCTCGACGGCGTCGGCGACGCGCACGGCCGCGGCGTCCGCGGACGCCTGCAGCGGCGCGATTGCGGGCTCGTCGTCCTCCCGCTTCCGCTTGCCCGCCGCGCCGCCGGCCTTCGTCGCGCGGAAGCCGTGGGCCGTGCGCGGCAGGGCCGGCGCGTCGGCGACGTCGCCGACGATCAGCGCGACGAGCGTCCCGTGGAGGCGGTGCAGCGCGCCGCGCGGCCGGCCCCCGCGCTCCGTCAAATCCGCCTCGTAGGACGGCCACGAGGCGCCCCGGGCGCCCACGGCCTTGGCGACGGCGTCGCCGGCGCCGAGCCAGACGTAGGCCTCGCCCGCGAGCGCCGCGTCGACGTCGTCGCCGGACCAGGGCTTCGGGTCGCCGTCGATCCGCGCGCAAACGTACGTCGCGAAATCCCACGTGCTCAGCGCGGCGCCGACGACGTCCGGCGCCGCGTCGCCGAGCGAGACGACGGTTTCCGGTAAGACGGCCGTGGCGCCGCCGTCGCCGGCGGCGGGCGCGAGCCAGAGGCCCAGGGGGCACACGTCCGCGTCCGCGCCCGCGTCGTCGACGACGCCGCCGACGCAGAACCGCGCGTGGCCGCTCAGGCCCGCGAGCGTGTCGTACTTCTGGCCGCAGGCGTCGCAGACGAACTTGCCCGCGGCGTCGACCGTGGGCGGGCCCGTCGCGCCGCCGCGGTAGCGGCTCCCGCAGGGCCCGCAGAGCGTCGCGGGGCCCCGCGGGCCCGGGTTCTTGCCCTTGACGTCCGTGATCTTGCACCAGTCGCAGCGCCAGTGGCCGCCGTCGCAGCGCCGCGCGTGGCTCGCCAGGGACCCCAGCGTGTCGTGGGACCGGCCGCAGTGGTCGCAGAGGTACTTGCCGTCCGCGGTCTTCGTCGGCGGGCCCGTCGCGCCGCCGCGGTAGCGGCCGCCGCACGGCCCGCAGAGCGTCGCCGCGCCGCGCGGGCCCGGGTTCTTGCCGCCGGCCTCCAAGGCCGTGCACTCGCACCAGTCGCAGCGCCAGGAGCCCGCGTCGCAGAAGCGCCGGTGGCCGCTGAGCGCGCCGATGGAGTCGAAGAGCGCGGGGCAGTGCGCGCAGCGGTACTTGCCCGTCGCCGCGTCCTTGAGCGCCGGGCCGTCGGCGCCGCTGCGGTAGCGGCCGCCGCAGGGCCCGCACAGCGTCGCGGGCCCCCGCGGGCCCGGGTTCTTGCCCTTGACGTCCGTCGACTTGCACCAGTCGCAGCGCCACGACCCGCCGTCGCAGCGCCGGCTGTGGCTCGCGAGCGACCCCAGCGAGTCGTGGGGCCGCCCGCAGTGGTCGCAGAGGTACTTGCCCTCGGCGTCGCGCTTCGGCGGGCCCGTCGCGCCGCCGCGGTAGCGGCCGCCGCAGGGCCCGCAGAGCGTCGCCGCGCCGCCCGGGCCCGGGTTCTTGCCGCCGGCCTCGAGCGCCGTGCACTCGCACCAGGCGCAGCGCCACTTGCCGCCGTCGCAGAAGCGCCGGTGGCCGCTGAGGGCGCCGGACGTGTCGAAGAGGGCCGGGCAGGCGTCGCACTTGAACTTGCCCGACACGGGGTCGCGGACCGGCGCCGGGCCGGCCGCCTTGCGGCCCCTCGCCTTTGGCGGCTTCGGCGCCGGCGGCGCCGGCGGCGGCACGGCGACGGGCGGCGGCGGCGCGAGCAGCGCGTGCGGTGGCACGGGCACGCAGCGCGACTCGGCGACGACGGCGCGCGCCTTCGCGACGAGCAGCGCGACGCGGCCGCGGAGGTCCGGCGCCTCGACGTCTAGCGTCGCCAGCTCGCCGGCGAGCGCGAGCGACGGCGTTGCCATCGCTGCTTGGCGCCGCCGCGCGCGGCGGCGGGGTGATGCGTTGCCTTTCCGATTGAGGAGGCGGAGTCGCTTACGGACGCCGAGCCGGAGTGGGAGATGATGCGGGTCTTGGTGTTGGGATGTGATTCTTCAAGGACCGCGTTTCTTGAACTTCGAGAGCAGCCCGGCCCCGAGCTCGACGGGCTGCCGCCACTCGTAGTCTACTTCTTCAGCGGCGCGGTGTCGCGGCCCGCGTCGCCGAGGCCGCCCCAGGCCCGGGCCGCGCCGCCATGGTCAACCCCCTGGGGACCAAGGTCGATGGCGACGACATGGCGCAGCTCGCCAAGGCGCGCGTCCGCGCCCGCGAGCTCGACAAGGCGGCGCGCGAGCGGGGGAAGCTCCTCGGCGACGCGGGCGTGGCCCGGCCCCGGGCCTTCCGCGTCGCCGTCCTCGGCGACGCCGAGGTCGGCAAGACGGCCTTCTGCCGCGCCGCGGCCGGCGAACGCTTCGACGAGGACTACCATCCCACGATGGACGACGCCGGGCCCCGCGAGGTCGAGGTCACGGTCCGGGGCCCGACGGGCCCGCCCGCGCTCATCACGCTCGTCGACTGGGCCTGGGACCAGATGTACCAGGTCAAGCAGGTGGACCTGGCGCCGCACCTCGCGAGAGCGAAAGACGGCGGCGTCTTCGTGTTTTCCTACGCGCACCCGGACAGCTTCAAGAACCTGTCCATCCGCTTCCACGAGTTCGACCGCCTCGCGGGCGGCAAGCCGCCGGCGCTGTTTCTCGGGAACAAGACGGACGCGCCGAAGTTGCGGGTGAAGGACGGCGACGTCTGGGACGCCGCGAGGAAGCGGTCCGGCTCCGACTTCGCGGCGACGTGCTGCGCGAGCGGCGAGGGCGTCACCGCGGCCGTGGGCAAGCTCGCGAAGCTGCTCTTAGGTTTCGGCGACGACGAGTCCTGGGTCTGTCAAGAGGCGACGCCGGGCCGGAGCGACGCGTACGTGGTGCAGCTCGGGCGCCACGAGGCCTTCGCGCGGCTCGCGGGCAAAGGCGCCGACGAGCTCGCGGCGGAGATCTCCGCGCACCTCGGTTTGGATGATGGATTCGCGCCGTCCGAGGTCGCGGAGAAGGCGTTGGCGCACCTCGGGCTCAAGGCGGACGCGACCGCGGATATCCGCGACGAGCTCGGCCGCTGCGGCGTGCTGCTGGGCGTGCCCGCACTCGTCGGCGGCGACGACGGCGACGACGACGGCGACGACGCGCTCGGGGGCCTGGCCGCGGGGAAACGAGCGCCGGCCGCCGCGAAGGACGAGGCCGCGGCGCCTTCCGCGGCGGACCTGGCGCCGACCAGGGCAGGAAAAGAGAGCGACATTCCCAACTTCAAAGGCTCCGATCTCGGCCGTTTTCCACTCGTTTCGGCTGACTTTTGGACGAGCGATCATCTCTCGGAACGGTCTCGAAGCATGGATGCTTTTTCCGGAACGCGCGCGCGCGGAACACTCACGTTGAAGCGACGTTGAATCTCTCTTGTCCTGCCCAGGCGCCGACGTCCGCGGAGGCGACGCGCGCCGCGGAGGAGGAGAACGTGCGGCGCGCGGAGCGCCTCAAGGCCAAGGTGCTGGAGCGGGAGAAGCGCGCGCGCGAGGAGGCCGCGGAGAAGTCGGCGAAGAAGCGCGACGCCGAGGAGGCCGCGCGCGTCGCCGAGAAGGCCGTCGAGGCGGACCGTTTGGCGAAGACGGAGGCCAAGGCGCGCAAGAAGGCTGACAAGGTCGACCTCGCGCGGCGCATCCGCGCCGCCTTCGAGCACGGCTTCGGGGCCGCCGGCGACGGCGCGCTGACCTGCGCCGCGCGCGCGGCGCACGCCGCCGCGGCGGCGACGCTCGCGGCGGACGACGCCGTGCTCAACGTCGACCGGCGCAAGTTCGCGCGCCTCAAGGACGCCGTGTCCGCGGAGTGGCCCTCCTGCATGCTCCACTTCCACGACCACGTCGACGCGTCGCGCCGCTGCTCCCTGCGCCTCAAGATCCCCGAGGCCTGGCGCGACAAGCCGCTCGACGTGCTGCTCGACGCGGCGAACCCGAAGATCGCGGCCAAGGCGGCCAAGAACGCCCAGGGCGGCAAGCGCAAGGGCGCGCCGAAGCACGTCGCCCACATCCGGACCCTGCGCTGCGAGGCCATGTTCGGCGCGGACCTCGCGGGCCTCTCCATCTACGAGGCCGTCTCCCAGGCCCAGGGCTGCATCTTCCTCCGCCAGCCCCGGGGCGCCTAGGGCGCTTTTGTTACGTGAAATACCCGTGGGGCGGCGTGAACTCGACGTCGACGTGCGTTGTTCGCTCCCAGACGTCCGTCACGACGAGGCCCACGTTCCGGTAGCGCACCGCGCTGTCGTTGCGGCCCCAGGTCGTCTCCGCGAGCACCGTCGACGGCTTCCAGTAGGCGTCGAAGACGACCTCGCCCGCGGCGACGATCCGGTCCTCGTAGAGCAGATCCCAACGGCCCGTCGTCCGGTGGCTCAGCTTGAAGGACGAGTGCGCGAGGAACTCGAGCGTCCCGTTGAAGAACGTCGCGTTGTAGACCACGGGCGAATCATAAAAGCGCTCGACGCTGTAGATCTTCCAGCCCTGGTTGATGGACCGGATGCAGCTGTAGGACGCCGTGTCCGAGCAGTCGGAGCCGCCGTAGATCGACAGCTCCCAGGCCACCTCCTGGGCCGGCGTCACCTCCTGGATCTGCGCGTCGAACATGACGTCCAAGTCCGGGTCGAGGAGCCCCGGCCACCAGCACGTCAGGTGGTTCTTGGACGGGAGGCGGTCGTTGTCGCCGAACGTCTCGCTGTAGCCCTGGGGGTACGCGTTGAGCGGCGAGTAGGAGAAGTCGACGAAGGCGACCTGCGTGGTTTCGTTGATGACCACGGAGAGGATGCGCGACGGCGAGTACAAGTTGTAGGCGTTGTCGAACATGAGGTAGGTGTCGTCGCCGACGTATTCGACGTTGTGCTGCCCCGCCCAGTAGGAGAGCCCCGCGGCGAGCGTCACCGTGCCGTCCGTGATGGTGAAGGTGCCGTTCTCGCCGCCGGCGACCCACTCGACGCGGTCCGTGAGCATGTTGTAGTTGACGATGGAGTCGCTCAGGCGGCACGAGATGATCGCGCGCGTCTCGTTCTCGACGAGCTGCACGTGGTTGATGTCGCCGCAGTTGGGCACGTACCACTGGCGCTGCTGCGTGCCGTTGGCGTGGAACTTGGCGAAGACCGTCTCGTTGACGCCGCCCGTGGGCTGCCAGTAGGACTTGTTGTCGAGGCCCCACTGGACGTCGTGCGAGCTGAACCGCTTCTTCTTCGAGAGGCGCTTGAGGTGGTGGTCCCGCGTGTCCTTCGTCTCCTGGCGCCAGGACCACTCGTAGGGGTAGCCCTTCTCCTCGAGCCAGTTGTTCGTGTAGGTCAGGATGGTGTCCGGGCCCGTCAGCTTGAGCGCGTCCATGTGCGTGCTTTCGTAACCGTCGTCCAAAGACGACGTCGGCGTCACGGACCGCAGCGTGCCGTTCCAGTGCATGACGATCATGTAGGAGCTGTAGGACGGGGCGAGGCCCGTGGTTTGGGACGCCGGGCCGGGCATGTAGAGCGTGAAGGCGAAGTAGCCGCCGACGGCCGCGCCGCCGATCTCCGCGGCCATGAGCCGCGGCGAGTAGCGGAGCGCGAGCTTCTGGGGGATGAGCAGATCCATGGCCACGTCGCTCGTGTTCGTGTCGTTGAGGACGAACTGGCGCACCTTCTCGAACTCGAGCAGCGCGCCTGGGCAGGACAAGAGTGCGAAATTCCCAACTTCAAAGGCTCCTCTCTCGGCCATTTTCCACTCGTTTCGGCTGATTTTTGGACGAGCGATCATCTCTCGGAACGGTCTCGAAGCGTGGATGCTTTTTCCGGAACGCGCGCGCGCGGAACACTCACGTTGAAGCGACGTTGAATCACCCTTGTCCTGCCCTGCAGCGCGCGGGGCCCCCACTGGCACGTGAACTGGCCGTCGCTCTCGACGCACCCGTCGAAGGCCGACGTGTCGTTCTGCAGCGGCGAAACATAGTTCGACATGTTGTCGTCGAGCGGGTTCGTCCAGTCGTCGTCGCTGCCCTCCGAGAAGAGCATGAGGAAGACGACGACGCCGGCGACGACGGCGACGACGCCGCAGCAGGCGCAGCAGAGGAAGATGGGCTGCAGGTACCAGGGCTTGCGCTGCGCCGCGGCGCCGACGCTCGCCGACACGGCGGCGGCGACGCCCTCGCCTGGCGGCATGAGCGGCGTCGACGCGTCGGCCATGCTAGCGTCGTCGAGCGTCGACACACCCAATCGGGGCAGCTTTCGTACAGCTTCGGCATATTCGGCGGCAACGTGACGGTAATAAGCATCGAAGCTAGCGCTGAATCTTCATGCACGGAGCGTATGCGCCGCTCGTCGCTCTGATCTCGCGCTGCCATCCACTGCCACATAGTTGCCCGAGCGCGCCGAGATGGCGACGAAGCTCGGCCACGGCCTGCGCACGGCGCTGCAGTCGCCGATCATCGCGGTGCTCGGCGTCGTGTCGTTGGCGCAGCCGCTCCTCGAGGCCACCGGCCTCCTCGCCGCGCCGGCGCCGCCGGAGGAGGACCTACGAGGCAAACGCGTCCTGGTGACGGGCGCCACGGCCGGCATCGGCCTCGCGACGGCGGCGCGCCTCGCGCGCATGGGCGCCGAGGTCGTGGTCACGGGCCGCGACGAAGCCCGCCTCGCGGCGGCCGTGCAAACGGTCGCCGGCGGCCGCGGCCGCGTCACCGGCGAGGTCCTCGACCTCTGCGCCCTCGCGTCCGTGCGCGCCTGCGCCGCGCGGCTCGGCGCGTTCGACGTCGTCGTCCTAAACGCCGGCACGAACGCGAACGTGCCGACGGCTGAGCACGCGGACCTGCCGGGCTGCTCGCTCGTCTTCGGCGTCAACTTCGTCGCGCAGTGGCTGCTGCTGAAGCTCCTGGACCTCCGCCCCGGCGCGCGCGTCGTGTGCCTGTCGTCCGTGAGCCACCACAGCGCCGACGCGGCGACCTTCGGGACGCTCGGCGCGGACTACGCGGAATCGAAGCTCGCGATGATCCTCCTCGCGCGCGCGATCAGCCGCGGCGACTTCGGCGCCGGGTTGTTGGGCGTCGCCGTGAACCCGGGCGCCGTCGATTCCCATATCTGGCGCCACGTCTGGTTCCCCGCGAGCGCGCTGTTCGCGGGCTTCTCGCGGCTCGCGTTCCTCTCAGGGCAGGACAAGGGTGATTCAACGTCGCTTCAACGTGAGTGTTCCACGCGCGCGCGTTCTGGGAAAAGCATCCATGCTTCGAGACCGTTCCGAGAGATGATCGCTCGTCCAAAAATCAGCCGAAACGAGTGGAAAATGGCCGAGAGAGGAGCCTTTGAAGTTGGGAATTTCGCACTCTTGTCCTGCCCAGGTTCCTCTCGAGCGACGAGGGCTCCGCGACGTCGGTCTTCGCGGCGGCCGCGCCCGCCGCGCGTCTGCCGCGGACCGACGACGGCCTGCCGGCGTACCTCGCGCCCTTCTGGCAGCCGCCGCGGGGGCCCGGCCGCTCCGCCTTCGAGTACCTGAGCGTCTTCGCGGGCGCGCGGCCGGCCTTCGCGCGGCTCCCGCGCGACGAACGAGCCGCCGCGGACCGGCTCTGGGCGGCCTGCGCCCGGCTCGTGGGGGCGATTTAAGATCAGGTTGTGCGGGTCCCAGAGGCCACTCCTCCCCCACGTGCCGCCCGGGGCGAAAAAGCCGGCTCTGGCCGGGGCGGCGATTTAGGAGATTACGCGGTCATCAGTTTGGTCGGGTCCCAGCGGCTACTCCACTCCCACGTGCCGTCCGTATCCATATAGGATTCGAGGCCGGCGCGCACCCGCTCGATGCGTGCCTTGTGGATGCCGGTCCAGTACGGGTTCTTGGTCACGTTGATGATGATTCCGTTCGCGTGGGTCATCAAATTTCCGATGTAACCGCACTCGCCCCGTCGGAGATTGCCGCGTCCGTTGTCCAGGTGTGAGCCGAAGGCGCTCAGCTGGATTTTGAGTCCGAAGAGCGAGTGGAGGCCGTAGCCTTCGTCGATCAACTTGTCGATGCCCACCCCGGGCCCGAGCAGGTGCGCGGGCACGCCCGTCTCGTAGAAGATTTCCAGCTCGTTCTCGACGTTGATGTCTTTGAGGAGCTCCGCCGACACGGGGAAGCCGACGCGGACGAGGTCGAGCGGCTCGTTCTCGAACCGTTCCGCCTGCTCCAAGGTGATGCCGTCGAAGTTGAGCCGCCGGCAGCCGCCGAGCTGCTCCCGGAGGTCTTGGAGCCCGAAGAAATCCGCCTCGCTCCGGAGGCGCAGCCACATGGCGCCGGTTAGCCCCGCCGGCGGGAGCAGGCGGCCCTCATCCCGGAGCCACTCGAGAATTACCGCAAAGGTGTCCGGGTTCTTGTCGATGAAGAACCGGCCGTCGGCGTCGCGCGTCGGCGCGCGGAAGCCGCTGCCCTCCTTGAAGAGGTTCGCAAGATACCCGGGCGCGCTCCGCACCGTGCCGTAGGTCGTCGCGAAGCTCCGCCCGCCCACATTCAGCAAGAGCACGTCGCCGTCGCCGTCTTCCGGGGCCTCGTCGCCGTCGGATCGCTTCCGCTTCTTCAGCCACGACCCGTTCGACGTTTCGACGGCGCCGTCGCCTGCACCAGCCATCCGCGGACGTCGTCGGGCTGCCTCAGAGGGTCGCCGCGCCTCGAGAGCACGGATCAGAGCTGCGCGCATGCGCCGCCATCCAGGTCTGGGAGCCCTGTGCAACAAGCATTGCATCATCTACTGCATGCAGTCGAGCAGCGCGACGCGCGGGTGGAGGCCGTAGGCCGCGGGCATGGCGGCGATGAGCATCCAGGCCTCGTAGACCTCGAGGCGCGCGCGGAGCTGGAGGTGGAGCCGCGACGCGACCTCGTCCATGGGCGCGCCGTCGCGCGGCGGGCCCTCGGAGACGTGGGCCTTGACGAGGTCGTCGACGACGAGGCCCCTGCGGCCGTGGGCGGCGAAGTCGCGGAGCCAGGTGCCGTCGCGGCCGCAGCTCCAGTCCGGCGGGTCCGGCCCCGGCGGCGCGCGCGGGCCGGCGTAGGCGCGCGTGCGGACGACGGAGCGCGGCGCGCGGTCGTCGGCCGTCCACGCGACTTCGGGCGCGCGGGGCAGGGCCGCGTCGAAGGCGATCGAGATGCGGAGGGGGTCGCCGCCGGGGGCGACGCGCCGCGGCGGCAGCGCGTGGAACGAGTGGAGCCAGCACGTCGGCTCCTTGTGCGGCGCGTTCGTCAGCGTGCAGTCGTCGTCCGCGCCCTCCACGAGGTCCGCGTCCCAGTAGATCGCGACGCCGTTGCACGTGCCGGCGACCTCGGCGCCGAGGTCGAGGTGCAGCGCCGCCGCGGGCGGCGTCGAACCGCACGTCGCGTCCAGCACGCACGCCTCGCGCGTCAAAACCGAGAACCGCGACCGGTAGAGGTCGACGTACTTGCCCTCCTCGCAGAAGGGGAGCCAGTGCGGGTCGGGCACACGCTCGCCCTCGCCGACGACGGCGTCGAGCTGCAAAGGGGCGGCCCAGACGCGGAGCCGGTGCGGGATCGTTTTCACGGATTTCGCCGCGAAGCGCTCCAGGGCGCCGTGCATGAGGGGCAGGAGCGCCTCGCCGAGGCCGCTCGTGTCCATGAGCTCGGCGCAGAAGACGTCGAAGGCGCCGTCGATCTTCCCGGGCAGCGTCTCGATCTTGTCGCCGTAGACCGCGGACGCGCCCGGCTTCAACGAGAGCGGCGTCTTCGCGCCGCTGGGCCCCGCGTCGTCCGTCGCCAGGGACGCCGCGACGCGGCTTAAAGCATTGTCCATCTCCACGGCGAGCACCGTCGCGTTTTCGCTCGCGGCCCTGGCCATGATCGACAGGAGCCCGGAGCCCGCGCCCATGTCCATGAATCGCGCGCGCGGCTGCGCCGCCAGCGTCTTCCGGATCGCGCGCTCGTAGGCGCCGTTGCGCACGCCGTCGCGGACCATGCCGAAGTGCCACTCGTTCGCGCGGAACAGGCCCCAGGGCACGTCGCATCCGGCGCCCGGCCGGCGGAAGACGACGCCGCCGCGCTCCGGCGCCTCGAACCACAAACGCGTCGACGACGCGGCGCAGGGCAGCACGGCTTCCCGGCCCGCGGCGCGGAAGGGCTCCACGTACTGGACGCTCGCGAAGGCCTCGCCGTCGGACTCGTACGCGTCGACCCACGTGACGACCGCGTTCGCGAATTCCGCCCCGTCGAGCCAGGGGAAGGCGACGGCGCCCGGCGTCGAAAGCGGCGCCCCGCGCAGGATCGCCATGAGGTCGACGTCGACGACGGTCACGGCGCGGGACACGCGGGCGTGCGCGTCGTTGCGCACGATGTCCGGCGGGCCCGACGCCGGGTGCGGCGCCCAGCGCGCGTTGTCCAGCACGCTGAGGTCGTAGGCCGCGAGGTTGGCCGGGGTCGGGTGGGCGCCGGCGCCGCGCTGCGCGGCCGCGAAGGACGGCACCTCGCCGCAGCCGATCCACGCGAGCGCGGCTCGCAACGTCGCCGTCCTCGGCAGAATCGTCGTCGTCGCGGAGACGAGCTTCCGCGCGGCGCGCAGCCGCGGCACGAGGCGCAGCTCGAGCAGGCCCGGCGCGAGGAGGGCGTCGGCGAGGAGGACGTCGCAGGCGACGCCGGCGAAGTCCCGCGGCGCGACGACCTCGCACCCCGGCAGTTTCTTCTCGAGCGCGCGCCGCGCGTAGCGGTTCTCCTCGACGACGACGACGCGCGCCGCGGTCGCCGACGCCGCGCGCGCCGTCTCGCCGAGGCCGCCGCCGAGGGCGACGACGACCGCGCCGGGCGCGGCGCGCGCCGCGGCCGCCGCCGCGGCTCGCACCCAGGGCGCGCGCGCGACGTCCAATTGCCGGAAGGCCGGCGCCAGGACCTCGTTGCGCCTGTCCAACGCGTCGAGCATGGCCCGGACGAGGGGGCGGAAGGGCGCCTCGCGCGACGCGACGAGGGCCTCGCGGCTCTCCGTCGGCGACGCCTTGTCGCCGCAGGCTTCGCGGGCCTCCGCGATCGTCGCCCGCGTGCAGAAGGCCGGCCGCAGGAGCGCCGGGTCCAGGTCCTCGGGCGTGTCGTGGTCGAGCTCCGCGGCGTAGACGACGGCCTTGGCGAAGTCGACGAGGCAGCTCCGGCGGGCGGCGCTCGCGCGCCGCGCGACGTCCGCGCTCCCGGCGCCGGCGCCGCGGCGCAGGGCCGCGAGCAGGCGGCCGTAGTAGTGCACGGCCCCGGCGTAGTCGCCGCAGCGCTCCGCGCGGGCGATCTTCGCCTCGAACGCGTCCGCGGCGCTCAGCGCGGCGCTGGCCTCGGCCGCGGCGTCGAAGACGCGGTCCGCGGCCGGCCACGACGCGGACACCGCCGCGCCGCCGGCGCGGACGACGGCGACGCGCGCGCCGGCGGGCACCGCGGCCTCGCGCGGCAGGTGGACGCCGTCGCAGTCGAGGACCAGGGCCTGGGGCGCGAGCGCGCCGTGGCCCTTCTTCGCGTACTGCTTGCAGTAGCCGTCGACGACCTTGCCGGCCGTTGTCCTCGGCGGCAGCCGCATCTTGAGCGCGAAGCCGCCCGGCGCGCCCTCGTATGTGCAGACGAGCTCGGCTAGGGGCTGCTGTCCGGGGCTGCTGTCCACCATCGTGAGAGGCTTCTACTTTGAACAGCATGTTTACCTCGTGAGCACTTGGAGCCATTTCTCGCTGGAAGTCTAGGCCTATGCCTTAGAACGCGATCTCAATAGTCATCGTGGGACCCGTAGCTGGGGCTGGGGCTCCGAGCCTGCTCGGGCTCATTGACAGATTCGAGAAGCATCGTCTTGAAGTCCTCGTATCTGGAGCGGCATTTGAATCCGTGCTGCATGCGGTACTCGGGCTGCGTGAGAAGCTCAGCGGCCTCGAGTGCACCGAGCTCGACGAGTAATTTGAAGTCCATATTTATTTCATGTCTCAAACTGAGCATATATGTGAAAATGAGATCAATCCTGGATGACGTTTTATCCCTGGAAAATGAGACAAAAAAATCATTCAAGAGCCATTGGACGTCAAGATCCGCGAGTATTTCTGGTATGCATTGGCCTCCGCCGCAGAGTGTGCTGAATCTGGGCAAATCTTGGAGGAAATATAGAGCGAATCTGTTGCTCACATTTGCGAAGGCACGCGCGACTTTCGCGAGCGCGATAAATAATTTGATGGCGGTCATGTCCCGCCGCCTTCGAAGAGAGTCCGACCCGTCGTCATGATAGTCCTCCAGTTCAAAAATGACATTCCAGAAAAGTTCGAGAAGGGCGGTAAGCACATCTCCGCGATCTGAAAGTGTCGCGGTGGTCATCGACTCAGTAGCGGCTGCGATGCACTCGAAAAACAGTATCGACTCGCATCGCTTACGCATTTCCTCGGGCGTATCGTCTGGCATATTCCTCGAATCGCCACACTGAATGAACTCCTTGCAAGAATCCTCTAACTCTTTCATTCGGAGGCCTGTCGTGGAATAATAGCTGGGATACTCGGTCGCGACGCAGTCTGGGCGCTCCGCGAGGCATAGAAGGTACGCGCTGATGAAGGACTCGTTCGCGCGGCCCGAGTAAATGTCCAGACCCGCCATGTGAGCTTCGCACTCGGCGCGAGTCATCAGCTGCTTCGCTCCAGATTCCGGCAAAGACTTTTTGAAGGCCACGAGGCCCAAGATCGCCCCCTCGAGCGCGGCGAGCACCATCCATGCGCGGCGGTCTTCGAGGATCCGGCCCGCGAAGCAGGTCAGCGACGTGTGCCGTTTGAGAGCGGCGCTGCAGGCCTTTTCGACCGCGCGAGCGCACACCGCCTCCGCGCCGCCCTCGCGGAAGAGCTTCACGCAGTCTACATTCATGAAGTCGCGCGCCGATAGGTAGGACAGCGACTGCGACAGGACGCTCGCGGCAGGAAGCGCAGCGTGGAACCGGCAACGAACGCGCCGTCGTCGACGGTCACAGCCGCCTTGGCACGTTTCGTCGTCGTGGACTCGTCCGCGGGGCGCAGGCGCAGAAGCCGCGCCAAGCCCGCGACGCTGCCGGAGATCCTCGCGCGTGCATCGGGAGTCAGATCTGAGCCTCCGGCGCAGCGTGCCTCGGCGCTCGCCACGAGCTCGTCGACATGATCGAGCGACGCGAGGAGTGCGCTTTCGGGGTCGACGTTGCCGAGGCTGGGACCACGCGACACGAGGCGCGCATGGGAGCGCTTCATGGACATCTGCGGCAGCCCATTTCATTAGCGGCAATGAGCCAATGTTGCCGCTTTGTTAGCGCTCGATGATGGTGGAACGATGAGTGCATAGAGGTGGTCTCGGCGGCGTCGTCCGCGAAGCCCGAGCCTGAAACACAGAACACAAAACGATGGCGCACATCGTCATGGACCGCAAGTACGAGAACCGCGCCGCCGTGCGCGGGCCGGCCATCAAGTCGCGGAGCGAGCTCGCCGAGTCGAACGCGGAGCGGGCGTCGCGCGACTCGAAGACGCGGGACGGTCGGCGCGAGTCCTGGGAGGTGCGCGACGCGTCCGAGTTCGAGACGGCGAGCCAGACGAGCCAGCAGAGCGGCGCGCTGGCCTACACGCACACGGCGGAGACGCGGCGCCTCCGGAGCGCGCTGAAGAAGGACATCTACGGCTTAGATTCCGAGGAGGGCAGCAGCCACCAGTCCCTCGACTCGACGCACTCCGGCGAGAGCCCCTTCGCCGAGCCCGAGCCTCGGGTCTTCGGGCTCGCGAGCCCGCGCGGCCACGCGGGCGCGTCGACGCGCGCCGCGCGCGAGCGGCAGCTCGCGACGTGCGAGCGCGAGTACTTCCCCGAGGTCGGCGACACGGTCGAGCTCCACCACGCGGGCATCTGGCGCAAAGCGAAGATTTTGGCCGTGAAGCCCACGCGCTGGTTCCGGACGAGGCCTTCCACGTTAACCTACGACGTCGAGCTCGTGAGCGACGGCAACTGGCTCCCCGAGGAGCTCGCCAAGTTCCGCAAGATCTTCGACCGCGTCGACGACGACCGGTCCGGGTTCATCGACGTCAAGGAGCTCCAGGAGCTGCTGCTGGATCTGAAGCACCCGCTGGCCTTCGACGACGACGAGGTGAGAAAGCTCTTCGACCGCGTCGACAAGGACGGCTCGGGCACCATGGACTTTGAGGAGTTCGTCGACCTCGTCTACGTCGAGCTCCGGGATCGGATCGGTTTGGACCACCGCGTCTACGGCGTGCCCGAGTACAAGCTGCGAAGGCGCGCCGCGCGGCACCGGAGGCCGCCGAACGTCTTCGCGCTCCCGGCGGACCCCTTCGACTCGCTGCTGGCCCTCGAGGCGCGGGGCCGCGCGGAGCGCGCGCGCGCCCACGCCGAGGCGCGCAACGCCGCCATCTCGCGGCCCCTGCGGCGCTACGCGAAGGCGCCGCCTCCCAAAAAGCGCAACGCGCTCGCGAACAGCGCGGACGCGCGGCTCCGGCTCACGCCAGGGCAGGACAAGGGTGATTCAACGTCGCTTCAACGGGAGTGTTCCGCGCGCGCCCGTTCCGGAAAAAGCATCCACGCGTCGAGAGCGCTCCGAGAGATGATCGCTCGTCCAAAAATTAGCCGAAACGAGTGGAAAACGGCCGAGCTAGGAGCCTTTGAAGTTGGGAATTTCGCTCTCTTGTCCTGCCCAGGCTCACGCGGAACGTCTTCGACCCGAAGCACCACGACCTGTGCTCCGTGGCCCGGAGGCCCGAGGAGGTCGTCGAGTACGAGAAGCCGACGCTCGTCTTCCACCCGAACTACGTCTACGCGGGGCCGCCGCTGCCGGAGAAGCTCACGTCCTGGCTGCCCTACCCCGTCGGCACCAAGGACATGCACCGCCACGGCGAGCTGCCGGGCCGCGGCATCAGCGAGGCGGCCTTCGAGCGGGGGCAGGCCCGGAGCTTCGACCCGGACGAGCCGCGCCGGGAGCCGTCGCTCGCGCGCGTCCGGGCGCCGAGCTCGCTCGCGCGGCCGTCGCCCTACACGTTCCTCTAATGTGTTTTCCTAGTGTCGAGGAGCGTGTGCGCCGCGCAGGCGCCCACGATGACGGCCGAGCCGGCGCACTGGTACGCCGTCGGCGCCTCTTCGAGGATGAGGAGCTGGAGGACGTAGCCGAAGGGCACCTCGACGTAGGTCACGAGCGCCACGGACTCCAGGCTCGCCGCCGTCTGGAACCCGTACGTCTGGAGGCCGAGGCCCAGGTTCGTCGCGAGGCTCATGATCGCCAGCCACGCGTAGTCGCGGCCCGCGAGCGTCGCCGCGGAGCGCGCGGGCGGCGCCGCGGACGCGTAGCGCGCGACGGCGACGTAGAACGGGCTGAGCACGAAGAGCCCGAGCGTCGCGTTGAGGCGCACGCCCGTGAGCGCGCCCGGGTTGTCGCCGCGGCCCGAGAGCACGCGCTGGCAGAGCACGAAGCACGACACGCTCCAGGCGATGAGCAGGGACCAGAGCACGCCGACGGGCTCGACGCCGCCCTCCGTCGTGCCGCTCCCCGGCGGCCAGCCCAGGACGCAGACGACGAGTCCGAAGAGCGCCGCGGGGCCGGTAAAGGCCGCGTGCACGGGCAGCGGCTCTCCGAGGAAGCAGGCCGCGCCGACGGCGCCGAGCAGCGGGTATATGTACACTATGGCCGTCGCGACGCCTGGCGGCGCGTGCTTGAGCGCCTCGAAGAAGAAGACGTTGATGCACCAGGAGACGGTGCCGGCGAACACCAGCCAAAAGGTCGTGCCGCGGCTCCGCCGCTGCGTCGCGTCGCGGCCGACGACGAGCGTCGCGAGACCGCTGCCGAGGAACAAGCCGCCGAAGCGGAAGAGCAGCAGCAGGTCGTTGGGCACGCGGCCCGTCGTCTGCGAGATGGCGACGTTGCACAGCGCGTAGAACAGGGCGCCGACGCCCGTGCAGATGAGGCTTCTGTGCTGCTTCGCCGGCTCCGGGGCAGCCTCCTGCAGCAGCCCGCCGCGCTCCATTTCGTCGCGGCCCATGTTTGAACCCTGCAACCGCTCGAATGCTGGGGCAGCCTACTGCAGCAGCCCGCCGCGCTCCATGGCCATGTCGTCGCGGCTACGTTTGAACACTGCAACCGCTTGAGTGCCGTATGGGTTGCAGTTCAATTTAGCTAGAGAGAGCATGGCCTCCCGCAGCGGTGCCATTGCGCGCCGCCGCTTCAGCGCCAACGGCGTCTACGGCGACTTCATCGATGCCATCGGCAACACGCCTCTCATTCGCCTGCGCGGAGCTTCGGAAGCTACGGGCTGCGAGATCTACGGCAAGTGCGAGTTCCTCAATCCTGGAGGTTCGGTCAAGGACCGCGCGGCTCTGGGCATAGTCCAGGAAGCGCAGGCGCGCGGCGCGCTCGCGCGCGGCGGGACGCTCGTCGACGGCACCGCCGGCAACACGGGCATCGGCCTCACGGCCGTCTGCAACACCATCGGCGCGCGGACGATCATTGTCATTCCGGAGACGCAGACGCGGGAGAAGAAGGACGCGCTGCGCCAGCTCGGCGCGCGTCTGGTCGAGGTGCCCGCGGCCCCATACAAGGACGCCAACAACTACATCAAGGTCTCGGGCCGCCTCGCGGAGGAGCTCGGCGCGTGCTGGGGCAACCAGTTCGACAACACCGCGAATCGCGACGCGCACTACGAGTCCACGGGCCCCGAGATCTGGGCGCAGACCGGCGGCGCGGTCGACGCTTTCAGCTGCGCCGTCGGCACGGGCGGGACGCTCGTCGGCACGGGGCGGTTTCTTCGCGAGGCGAGCGACGCGCGGACGAAGATCTGCCTGACGGATCCTCCCGGCGCGGCAATCTTCCGCTACTACCGCGACGGCGCGCTGGCGAGCGAGGGGAGTAGTATCACCGAGGGCGTCGGCCAGGGCCGCATCACGGCCAACCTCGAGGGTTTCGCGCCCGACTCGCAGTACGAGATCGACGACGGCGCGAGCCTGCGATGCGCCTACGACCTCCTCCAGAACGAGGGGCTCGCCCTCGGCCTCTCCTCGGGGCTCAACGTCGCCGGCGCCATGGAGGTCGCCAGGGACCTGGGGCCGGGCCACACCGTCGTGACCATTCTATGCGACGGCGCGCACCGCTACGCGTCGAAGATGTTCGACGTCGCCTACCTCGAGGGCCAGGGCCTCCCCGCGCCCGCCTGGCTCGCGCCGTCGCCGAGCGACGACGTCGCCGACGCGCTCTTTCGCGTTTTAGCGGACTCGTGAGATTAGGGTGTGCGCGCCGGCGGAATGTGGTCGGGCCGCGGGCCAAATTCGCCCGCGGCCGTCATCGTCCGCGCCGCGCGACCGGCCTCTCGTCCTAGAGCTCCGGCGTCTCCGCCGGGATGCTAACTCGTTGCCTCGCCTTCTCCGACACCGTGTACATGATGATGGGGTCGCCGAAGCCGTCCTGGACCTCGAAGTTGTGGCCGACGTACGTCGAGACCATGAGCGGCGCGCCGACCTCCGCGATGCCGCTGTGGTGCTTGCCGCCGTCGCCGTCGAGCCAGTAGACGTCGGCCTCCTGGCCCGCGACGAACTCGACGTCGCGCTTGTCCTTCTGCTTTTTAAAGTACTCGTCGGTCTGCGCGAAGCCCTTGCTCTCCATGAGCCGCCGGATGTCGTTCGGGTTCCGGAAGCGCTCGAGCGAGATGCGCTCCTGCTCGCGGCCGTTCGCCTTGATGACGAGCTCCGGCGGGTGGTGCGGGATGTAGTTCACCGTGCAGCCGTAGGACTCCGCGCCGTCCTCGTTCTTCACGAACTGGTCGGCCACGGGCAGCCGCTGCGTCCATCACGTTGAGCACGACTCCACCTCGCAGGTGCGCTCGCTCGACGAGAAGAGGCCGCCGCGCGCGCCCACGGCGGCGGCGGCGAGCAGGATGGACCGGAGCATGGCTGCGACGAGCCGCGCACGACGACGGAGCTGGCCGCGTGTCCGGTGGTTGTGGTGATTTTGCGAGGACGATGGGAGTGGCAATGGCTGCTCGCCGGCGATGGCTGGTCGCGACAGCCCTGGTCCTGGGCCCTTCCGCTGCCTTCTGGGGCAAACAGAAGCCGCCGGTCCCGCCCGGCGGCCTCGCCTGCGACGGCGGCTACACCGCCGTCCCGGCGACCCAGATCAACGACGACTACTGCGACTGCGGCGACGGCGCCGACGAGCCCGGCACGGCGGCCTGCAGCGGCGCGACCATCGGCGTCGCGACCTTCGAGTGCGCCAACGTCAATTATGAAGCCGCGAAGATCATGGCGAGCCGCGTGCGCGACGGCGCGTGCGACTGCTGCGACGGGAGCGACGAGGAAAACGGAAAGTGCGGCAACACGTGCGAGGCCGAATACCTCGAGAAACACGCGGAGCGCCTGCGGCTGGAGGCGGCGCGCGCGGCCGGGCTCGAGAAGCGCAAAAGTTACGTGGCGCAGTACGAGGCGGCCAAGGCCGAGGGCGACGCCGCGGCCGCGACGGCGGAGTCGACCATCAACTTTCTGCAAAAGGGCATCGACATGAACGAGAAGAAGGTCGCGGACCACGAGGCCGAGGCCGTGAAGCGGCGCGACGCCGCCGTCGCCGCGGGCGACGCGGCCTACGGTTTGTTGGCGCCCGCGCTCGAAAAAGCGGCCGGCGACGAGAGGAGCAGGGCGGCTTTGGAACTCGCGGCGGCGGCGATGGAGATCGAGGCGCTGCTGGACGTCGTCATGAACAAGGCGGGCCTCCCGGACGAGCTGACGAACAAGATCGACGACGTCGACGTCCTCTCGCTGGGCGTCGACGCCGCGGAAGCCTTGGTCAACGTCGGGAAAGAGCCGGACGCCGCGGAGCACCGGCTCGCGGCCGCGGGCCACCTCGAGAAGCTCTTCGGCGCGCTCCACCTCGGCGGCGCGTCGCCGGACGCCGCGACGGCCGTGGCCCTCGAGGTCGCCAAGGCCTGCGGCGCCGCTTTGCGGAAAGACGGCGAGGCTATCGCGGGGCGCCTCGCGGCGCTCAAGGGCGACCAGGCGTCCCTCGCCGCCGCGCTCATCGTGCCCAAGGTCGACGATAAGGTCGAAACCTACGCCCTCCCCGAGGCCGCCGCCGCGAAGGAGGCGCTGCAGAAGCTCAAAGAGCAAAAGACCGCGGCGCAAAAAACGATCGACGACCACCGGCGGGCCTTCGAGGAAGACTCCGGCCCGGACGGCGCCTACTTCCCGCTCAAGGGCCAGTGCTACTCGAAGAAGATCGCCCAGTACACCTACGAGCTGTGCCCCTTCGGCAAGGCGAAGCAGGACCACACGAACCTCGGCGCGTGGAAGGAGTGGCGCCACGTGGACGGGCGGGCGGACGGCGGCTGGCACTACGCGAACGGCCAGTACTGCGCGGGCCACGGCGCCCGCGAGCTCACCGTGGCCCTCAAGTGCGGCGCCGAGGAGGCCCTCGGCCACGTCGACGAGCCGAGCATCTGCAAGTACGCGGTCGACTTCCACACGCCCGCGGCGTGCGCGCCGTCCGACGCGCCCTCCCCCCCCGAGCGCCCGCGGGGCATCTTCTAGCGGTCATAAGCGTCCCCTGCGTCGCTTTTTTTAGGCGCGGACTAGCGGTGCCCGCCGGCGGACTTGTGGTGCCCCCGGTGGACGGCGTCGCGCATGTAGTCGAAGGAGGACGCGCACTGGGCCTCCGGGTCGTCGCCGTGCTCCCGGAGCTTGAGCGTCTGGAGGTAGGACGACGACTTGGACCGGTCGTGCTCGATGCGCCGCACCTTGCGGGACTTGAAGCCCGGGTCGATGAGGTAGGGCACGGCGTCGAGGGAGCTCACGACGTGGCCGCCGAACCAGACGTCGTCGTGGAGCCAGCAGCCCTTGGGCCGGTCCGTGTAGTTGAAGATCTGGTCGTCGAGGGACCCGCGCTCGAAGAGCACGCCCGAGACGCCCGAGAGCCAGCCGTGGCAGGTGCCCTCGACGGGCACGCGGAGGCACTCGCGCCGGTACCTGGGCGGGAAAAGAGTGCGAAATTCCCAACTTTGGAGGCTCATATCGTTTTCCGCTCGTTTCGGCTAATTTTTGGACGAGCGATCATCTCTCGGAGCGCTCTCGAAGCGCGGGTGCTGTTTCCGAAACGCGCGCGCGCGGAACACTCACGTTGAAGCGACGTTGAATCACCCTTTTGCTGCCCTGGCCGGTACTGCGCGTGCATGAAGAAGTAGCCCTGCTGCGGCGCCCACCCGAACTCCTCGCACCAGAAGCCCACGGACACGGGCTTGGACGCGTGCTGCGCCGTGAGCGAGAGGGCCAGGATCATGTCCTCGTGGTAGGTCGTGTCGTCGTCGACGGTGATGAGGTGCGTCCGCGCGTCGCGCTCGAGGCGGAGCGCGGGCAACAACTTCGTCGCCGGCCCGAAGTCGTCCTCCGCGCGCGTGATCATGTGCAGCTTCACGAGCGGGCTCAGCGCCTTGAGCACGTCCTCGAAGGCGCCGATCTCGTCGCCGACGGCGCGCGACTTGTTGTGCCGGAACTCGCGGTCGATGAGCGGCACGAGGCTCAGGAAGACGTAGATCGCGTCCGGCGTGCACGACTGGTCGAGGATGCTCCGCACGACCATGGGCAGGGACGTGTGCCGCCCGTAGAAGGAGCTCATGGTCACGACGGTGCGCGGCCGGTCCCCGCAGCCCGTGCCCGCGGCCCTGGCCGCGCGGACGAGCCGCTTCGTGCTCACGGCGCCCAATTTCTCGACGTCGACGAAGCGGCTGCTCGGCGGCGGGCACCGGAGCTCCGTGACGATGTGGGAGCTGTACTCGTCGTCGTTCGCGCCGCCGCCGCCGAAGCCCGCGAGGCCGCCCGTCGCGTAGGCGACGTAGCCGAGGGCGAAGGCGGCGACGGCGGCGATGCCGAGGCGCGTGTTGCGCCGCATGGCCTCGAGGGCCTTGCTGTCGTCCTTGGACCGCCCGAACGACCCCATGCCGAAGCACGCCGGGGCCGAGGCCCGCACCGGGAGACCGCCGCGGGGCTGCCGTGCAGTGTCTGAACGCGGCGCCGACGTCGGACTCGCTTTCAATCAGGCTTACTGCGCCCGGTACTCTGGTGCACGCGCTAAAATTGACATTCGGCCGAAGAAGTTGAACTAATAGTGAACCAGTATTGCCACAAAGGGCTGAGTTCGTCGATCGGCTCGTTCCGGGCTCGTGGGCTGGACCCGGGTCCGCGCGACGGCGCCGAGGGTTTTACTTCTCGGCTCGAGGACGCGCTCGAGATCACGCGGCTCGAGATCACCGGAAGAAAACAACCCATGGAGATCCCGAGCTCCGAGCCCACGCTCGCGCCGCCGCGCATCATCGAGGCGCTCCACCGCCCCTTCCGGCGCTTGAACAGCGACTTCGTGGTCCTCGACTGCGCGGAGATCGCGAACTGCGTCTACGGCACGTTCTGCGCCGTCGCGCTGGCCTACATCCTCCAGGACGACCTGGATCCCGACTCCGTGTGCCCCGGCGACATGCGCGGGAAGTGCTGGTCGATGATCGGCGCGTTCGGGATCAACGCCTGCCTGGGCGTCGCCTACATCCCCTGCGCCGCCGCCGCCCTCGAGCGGTGGAGCGCCTGGGCGCTCGCGCGCCTGCCCCAGCGGCGCGTGTCGTTCCGCGCGGAGACGGCGAAAGCGCTGACGGCGCTCGCGGCGGGCGCGGCGTCGTCGGCCTACTCCGTGAGCGTGTCGACGACCTTCACCTACGTGCTCGCGGAGGTCGAGTGGGAGGTGTCGAGCCAGTGGGCGACGCCGGACGTCACGGGCCCGTCCGCGCCGCGCGCGCGGAAACGCGGCGGCGCCGCGAGCTTCCAGCCGCCGACGGGCGCGCACCCGCGGCGCCGGCGGCCCCCCGGCGGCGCCCACGGGCGGCGGCTCGACGAAAATGACGACGCGCCCCCCACGGGGCTGCTCTTCCGCCTCTTCTGCGTGCGGTTTCTGCTCTGCGCGTCGGTCCTCGTCGGCGCCTACGCGACGATGGCGACGGCGACGCGGCGCGCGGAGACGGCCAAGGGCCCGAACGCGGCGCGGGTCTGGGCGCTGCTGCGCGGCTCGCTCCACTACGTGTCCGCGCTGGCCATCTCGACCGTGCTGACGTCGCTGCTCTTCTTGCCCTTCGACGCGTCGCCCGCGCTGGGGACCGTCACGGCCGCGCGCTTCGCCGCCGCGCTCTTCAAGGCCGGCGCCTTTTTTCTCGGCGCGCGGGCCGTGGCGCGGCGGCTGCCCCAGGACCAGGACGCGGAGAGCGCCGTGCCCGCGCTCGCTCGGAAGACGGCCGCCGTCGTCGCGTGCCTGGGCGTCTTCGACGCCGTCGACTTCTTCATCACGGCGCAGCTGGACTTGGACGCGGACCGGGAGATCCTGGCGTTCTGGATCTACGCCGTCGCCGTCGCCGCGGCCGCCTGTGTGGAAATCAACCAGTGGAACGCTGTCCAGCAAAAACTTCGAACCTCTCTAGCTCGGTCAAATCGAAGTCGATTTGGCTGATTTTTGGACGAATCGATTGCTCTCGTCGAGTTCTCGAAGCACAGCCAAAGAGCTTGCGTCGAAACTGTCGCATACACACAGATTGAAGTAGGGTTGAAGATTTGATTTCCACGCAGGCGGCCGCGCTCGCGAACCGCGAGCGGAAGCGGCGGCGGACGCGCCGCGCGCGGACGTCCGAGGACCTCCGGCGCGCGAACGACGCCGTCTTCGACGAGGTCTACGAGGCCTGGACCGTGGCCTTCGCGTTCTGGACGCCCTACGAGGACACGCTCATCCGCGTCTACGACTCCGTCGACGCGGACCACGTGGGGCTGAAGCTGCTCTGGCAGCTCGCGCTCGTCGTCCTCGTGCTCACGTGCTGCGGCCTCCTCAACGCCATCGGCGCGCTCTGCTTCCCGAAGCGGCCGCGGCGCGACTCCGCGGAGCCGCCGTCGGGCTACGTGCACCTCCAGGACGCGGACTTCTCGCTGGCGACGTCGCCGCCGCCGTCGGACGACGGGTCCGAGGGCCGGCCCTCCCTCGACGCGGGGCCCGTGCCCGTGCTCACGACCGTTTAATAGAAGGCGCCGTCGGTCTCGAACTCGCCGTCGCAGCGGACCGTGAGCTTCGCCTCGAGGTCCGGCGCCGTGACCCGGAAGACGAGGCACTGGTTGTGCTCCGTGACGGCGTAGTCCGGCAGGTCCGTGACCTCGACGAAGGGCACCTGGGGGCACGACACGTGGATCTCCTTGGGCGTGGACTCGAGGTCGTACGCGTCCTCCAAAGCGATGGCCGCCTGGCGGTCCCGCTCCAGCGCGAGGCGCCGCTCGATGCTGAAGACGTCGTCCTCCGGGGGCTGGGCGGACACGCGCGCCGCGGTCGCGGCGGCGGCGGCGGCGGCGGCGGCGCGCAGGGCCCAGGGGACGCGGCGCCGTCGGCCCGCGCGGGCCGGTCGCGCGCCCTGGAGCCGGACGCCGCAGTCGCGGCAGAAGCGGTCCGACGCGTCGACGGCGCGGGCGCACGACGGGCAGCTCGCGCCGGGGCTCGAGGCCGCGGCGGGCTGCCCGCACGGCGCGCGAACCATCGTCGAGCCTTTCGTAAACCTGCAACGTTGCTGCTAGGCTAGGAGAGGTTAACAGCTAGAGGGCCTACCCGGGGGGTTTGCGGCACCAGGCCTCGCGGCACTGGGACTCCAAGCCTAGCCGCGACCGCTGCACGGATCTTGTCAGCGGGCAGCTTTCAGAGACGACAGTCTTAGCAGCCCCGCCTCCCCCGTCGTCGTCGTCGCCGCGATGTACTCGGAGGTGCCGGACGTCGAGGGGCAGGCGCCGGAGGCGACCCAGGCGAAGCGCTTCGCGAAGCGCACGGGCGCCGTCGCCGCCGCGGGGCTCCTCGTCGCCGCCTTCGCCTTCGCGGGCCTCAACGGCGGCGCGGCGGGCGCGACGGCCCTGTTCGCGAAGGTCGCCCCGACGACGCTCGGCGGCGCGCTGGCCGCCAAGGCCAAGGGCACCGACGGCGGCATGTCGACCATCGGCGCCGCCGAGGTCGCCATCTGCACGGACGAGACGGCCGACGAGACGAGCACGTGCTGGGAGGACTACGGCGGCGTCTGTATGTACGAGAAGAAGAGCTGCAACGAGTACGGCGGCACGAAGAACTCGAGCGGCTGCGGCAGCGGCGACGACTGCTTCTGCTGCCAGGACATCGACTCGTCGCTCATCGGCGACGACGACGCGGTCCTCGCGTGGATCGACTCCTACATCGGCGACGACGACAAGCGGACCAAGTCCGGCAAGAAGTCCAAGAAGAGCGGGCACTAGGCCCCGCCGTTCGCTTTTTCTAACCCGCCGCTCCGTGTTCCACTCCAATGTTAGCCGTCATCGCCGCGGGCCGAAGCCGAAGAGGCCGCCGTGCGCCGCCACGCGCGCGGCGACGCCGTCGCCGACGCGCCAGGGCGCGCGCGCGTCGTTGGCGTGGGCGAAGGGCCCGTGGCTCCGGAGGGCGCCGTCGAGCTCGCGCACGCAGAGGTGCTGGAAGTCGTCGGTCGCGTACCTGGACTCGGCGTCGTCGCCTGTGTGGAAACCAACCACTGGTTTGGGTGGTCCTGACCAAACTTGAGAATTCTCTAGCTCGGTCACATCGAAGTCGATTCGGCTGATTCTTGGACGGATCGATCGCTCTCGTCGAGTTCTCGAAGCCCAGCTGAAGAGCTTGCGTCGAAACGGTCGCATACGCGCAAATTGAAGTCGGGTTGAAGATTTGGTTTCCACACAGGTCGTCGCGCCACTGGCGGTCCGCGCGCCGCGGCGCGGAGACGCGGCGCACGGGGAGGTAGAGGCTCTGGCCCACGTCGGCGTTCGTCAGAAAGGACGTCGGGCTCCGCTCCGGCGGCCAGGCGTCGCGCACGAAGCCGTAGGAGTGGAACGCGACGCGGCCGAGCGCCCAGCGCGCGGCACCGTCGTCGCCGGGCGTCGCGTAGTCCCGGGCCTCCTCGAAGGACGCGGCGCCGTAGAAGCGCACGGTGGCGCCTGGGCAGGACAAGGGTGATTCAACGTCGCTTCAACGTGAGTGTTCCGCGCGCGCGCGTCACGAGAAAAACATCCACGCTTCGAGACCGTTCCGAGGGATGATCGCTCGTCCAAAAATCAGCCGAAACGAGTGGAAAACGGCCGAGATATGAGGCTTTGAAGTTGGGAATTTCGCTCTCTTGTCCTGCCCCGGGTGGCGCCCTCGGGCATGCCCGGCTCGAAGTTTGGCGGCCGGAAGCGGTGCCAGGGCGTCTCCTGATGTTCGACGAAGCGGCCGTCGGCGAGGCGGACCGTCTCGGGCTTGGGCGGCTTGGGCAGGTAGCACTGGACGACGACGAGGGCATCGCGGCCGTCGGACGCCGGGTGTGCGCAGATGCGCACGTCGATCTCCGGCTCGCCGTCGCCGCCGCGGCGCCAGCGGAGCGCGTCGCGGAGCGCCGGGGTCTCGGCGTGAGAAGAACCCGAGTACCAGCCGGCGCCGAGCGGGCCCGCGGGCCGGTAGCGGTAGCCGGGCCGCGCCGCCGGCGGGCGCGTCGCGCTCCGCCGGCGCCCGCCGCGGCCCCGGTCCGCGTCGCGCGGCAGGAACGCGGGCGACTCGCAGTAGCCGCGGCGCTCCGCGTCCGCGAGCGTCGGCGCGAGCTCCGCCGTCGCTATGAGCTGCGCGCTCGCGCCGCGGGAGACGAGGAAGCGGAAGGTCCCGACCTCCCGCGCGCAGCTGTAGGAGAAGAGGTGCGGGAGCACGTCCGCGGGCAGGGGGATGGCCTCGCGGACGGCCTTGGGCTCCGAGGGCCGCGGGGCGCGCGGCGGCCGCCGCGGGCCCTTGTCCTTGGCCGGCGGCGCGCGCCAGGCCGCCGTCGCCGCCTCGGCCGGGGCCGGGGAGAGGGCCGCGTTGCCCATGGTGTCAGGGTGCCATCTTTAACAGCACGGCCGCCCTCGCGAGGGCTGCCTGCTCGGAGTATTCGGATATCCCTCATAATTACCCTTCAACATATTCGCGAGTCGATGACTCGGCCAACCTTGAAGTCTTACGCGCGTCAGGCCTCGAGCTCGTCGACGCCCTCGAAGACGGCGGCGCGCATGGCGGGCTCGGGCGCGACGCGCCGCGTCCACTGCTCGAACTGGGCGACGCCCTGCTTGACGAGCATGGACGCGCCCTGCGACACCGGGCAGCCGCGCGAGAGGGCCTGGTCCAGGAGCGCCGTCATCGCGGGCTTGTAGGCGACGTCGAGCACGGCGGGCTCGTTGTCGAGGAGGCCGTCGGGCGCGACGAAGCCCACGTCGCCGGGCACGGTCGAGACGACCGCGTCGACGGCGACGCCGTCGAGCCGCGCGACGGCCTCGCCGCCGAACGCGGCCGCGAGGGCCTCGGCCTTGGCGACGTCGCGCGCGTAGACGAGGAGGTCGAAGCCCGCGCCCGTCCGCCGCGCGAAGCCCTTCGTGAGCGCGTAGCACGCCGCGCGCGCGGTGCCGCCCGAGCCGACGACGAGCGCTTTGCCCGTGGCCGCGCGCGCGCCGCGGCGCGCGAGCGCGTCCTCGAGCGTCGCGCAGATGCCGATCCAGTCCGTGTTGTCGCCGACGAGCACGGGCCGCGAGCCGCCGAGCGACACGGCGTCGATCGCCGCCGTCCTCGCGCGGGGCGTCACGGTGTTCACCGCGCCGATGGCCTCGGCGGCGTCCGTGAGCTCGTCGAGGAAGGGCTGGACGAGCTGCTTGTGGGGGATGGTCACGGAGAGGCCCCCGAAGGATGGTTTCGCGAGGAGCGCGCGGAAGTCCGCCGCCGTCGCCGACGCCAGATCCGCGAGGCCGCCGTCCTTCGGGAGCTCCAGGACCTGTGTGGAAACCAAATCTTCAACCCGACTTCAATGTGCGCGTATGCGAAAGTTTCGACGCAAGCTCTTCGGCTGGGCTTCGAGAACTCGACGAGAGCAATCGATTCGTCCAAAAATCAGCCAAATCGACTTCGATTCGACCGAGCTAGAGAATTCTGAAGTTTGGTCAGGCC